GAGATATGCTCAGTGTTGACCTTATGTTTTATCTTTTTGTCAGCATATATGCATCACTGATAACACATTTCAAGGAAAACTAATAGGCCTAGTGTTTAGAAAATCACAGGAGTGATCAATGTTAGGAAAATACAGGCCAATTGGAAAATCCGCTTGATTGGACCATTTTTATGTTGTTTTTCCATTTTTTTTTTTTTTTTTTTGCATATTTTTGAAAATTCTTGTTTTTTGCATAGAGCTTGTCAAGGACAAGACTGGTTGTGGTGTCCCTTTTTTTTTCGGGGGGGGGGGTGGTGGTTCCATTCGAATGCGCTTACTCCAGCTGGTGGTACAATATCCGGAGGCGGTATCGCCTCTCTGATCCTCTAGTTTATTCATTTATTTATTACGTTAATTAATTAATTAATTTGTTTACTTTTTATTTATTTATTTACTCATTCATGCATTCATTCCAAAACATATGACAAAGAATAAATAGAAATTTAAAATTCCAGACAATCAGACTGTACGGCAGGGTCAAGTCTCTGGCAGCTCTTGTGCTCTTCTCATCTCACCTCCAGCTATCAGACACTCCTCCCCCTGCTGCTTTTCACCAAGCTGCAAGGTGAGGAATTCTGTGTATAAATACAGCGGAAATGACAGAAGGAATAACTGAATAGGTGTACACTGTAGATAAATCAGTGGATAGTTAGATGAATATGTTTGTAGATAAAAGCAAAGTGAAGTAAAAAAAAAATACCCCAAAAGAAAGAAAGAAAAAGATTATTTTTTCATGGGTAAAGTTTACAGGATTGTGCCCGATTTCAGGATTTTCAGTCTTCATTCTGATGTTTTTTTTTAATGTAGACTAAATGTTATGAGAAATTGCAAGCTACATTTTCGGGATTTTCAGTTTTCACAACTTTCACTCTTGTTATTATAAAAAAATAGATCCATAGATGTTGCTAAAACTTTAGGCATCCTACATTTTAGCCAAAATCGCATCAAGATGACCTCCAAGCTAGAGGAAGCCAGGCACAATGCACTGTGGGGACTGTGTATAGCTGATGCACTAGCCATGCCTGTACACTGGTATTACAACCCTGAGGACATCAAGTACGGCTATGGGGATTGGCTGACTGGATATAGAGCACCCAATCAAAAACACCCTAGCAGCATCTTGTCCCTGTCTGCTGTGGGTAAGGGGTTATAGTGCTAGCCTAATTGTGTAGTATTGATTTTAGGTATTATAATTTGACTTTGTCAGTTTTATTCTTGACTTATTTTATAAAAGCAAAGAATATATTTACATAGGAGATAATAATCTTTATTTATTTATTTATTTATTTATTTATTTATTTATTTATTTAATTTACATTGAATAATCATCTGATAATATTTTATTACAAGGCAAAGTACACCCTGACTATAATTAAATTTTAGGTGGATGGTAAAGTGTTGAAGGTTGAATGTTTAAGAGTGGTATAAATCATCTATTCAAAATTGTATAATTTATCGATTAATCTCTCTGATATTTAAAAATATAAGAAAAACATTCTTCCTCAGACGGCAGTGGCCGCAGTGGCTGGCATGCCAAGTCGAGACCAGTAGTGGGCAATGTTATCCTGCAAGGCAAGGATAAGTACTGGATGTCTTCGAACAGAAACACCCACTATCACCAAGGTAAACTGAGTTTACTCCAAGTAGATGACACAAAATACAGAATAAAGTTTTGTATATTCAATTAAAATTTATACCCAGTAAAAATCACATTTAAAAGATCCGGTTTTAAATTTTAGTGGTAACAGAGATTTTATAAGAATAAAATGATATTTTAAAGAAAATTATTTTCTACCACTCAGCTTGATATTTATCTATATATTTATGAAGTCACGGAATTATACAAGATAAAATTCATCTTGCATTGAAAATTCAAAGGAACTTTACAGACACTTCAACATAAGAGACCTAATTTTAGTCATATTGAAGCCTTACGATTGAAGGAACAGTTTGAATTAATTGCATAATTTACAAAACTGATAAATTACTAAAAGAATACTTTTTATCAACTCCCATACATGTAGGTATGAAGGCTGGTGATAACACCCTCAATGCCCTGTGTGCAGTGCGTGTGGCAGACATCCTCAAGAAGACTGACCCAGATGGCAAGCTGACCAACAGGGAGCTCCAAGCGGCTGTCCTGGAGGACTATGTCCAGTTTTTGACCACACCTGACTCCCACAATGACACCTATGCCGAGTCCTTCCACAGGGCCTTCTTTAAGGACTGGGACAATCTCGATACTCCACCCAGGAAGGGGAAAGAGATTTTGGAGTTTGCTGAGGAAAGGTAAAATTCGAAATCTTTTTTGTTTACATTTCAGGCTTGTTGATTTCATTTCTGACTAATCAGTTTTTTTATTCAGAATTTTAGACAAGACAAGTGTTTGTTGACAAGCAAGTCAATGCCTTCATTATTACGCACACCTCTAACACCCCATTTCCATAGATTTTAAGATCGATCTATCCCTGTGGGGAGTCTCACTAGATTACTGTCAGCTTGGCCGGCTTAAGCGTCTGTCCCGCCTACTAAAAGCTGTAAGGGGGTAATTGACTATGATGCCCGCTCGGCTGACTGCAATTTAGCGTGAACCCCCAGGGAGTTAGGTCGATCTAAAACTTAATCTTTAGATCGATCTAAATCTCTGGGAAAGCACACTAAGTGATATAATTCTTGTTCTAAGTTTTCAGATTTCTTCCTTGCTTCATTTTTAAGGGACTTATAATTTGAGTTTTAGAATGTGTTTTTGCTCTATAATTTCCTCTAAAAATGAGCTTTTTCATTGTTTCAAAAATTTTTTTTAATTTAAGCTATATGCTTTTTCTCTACTCCAGATATGCCCAAAGAATGAAAGAAAGCCCAGACTCCCAGCTAGCTGTGATTGGTTCCTTTGTCATGGCGATTCCATGGATACTCCACAGAGCCAACCAATCAGCTGATGACTGTGCCAAAGCTGCAGTGGAGTTTGTTCGTCTTACCCACCCTGTGCCCAATCTGGAAACCTATGTGGATCTATATGCAAGGTATGCTGTCAAATAATAATAGTAATAATAATCATAATAATCATAAAAATAACAAAATACTACTACTACTACTACTACTACTAATCATTATTATCATTATTATTATTATTATTATTATTATTATTATTATTAACCATCTTATTTTATTGTCATTTTTATATGATGTATTATTTCCTTCAAGTGAAGAGGATACTGCCCTAATCACCTCTTTCCCCACAATAGAAAATAAAAAGTGGACATAAGATGAACTTCTTCAGCTTTGTGATTTTACTTAAATATATCTCAGCTTCTTTTTGAAAACCCCAGCCTGTGGCTTGGTTTTGTCATTCCCTTTGCACCAGTACTATGACCTTCCTATAGTAACAGTAATTGTTGATGTAATAATGTTATTTCTTCCCATAATACAACAGCAATTGTTGTTGTAATAATGGTTAGTGTCTTCCCATAATGCACAGCAATTGTTGATGTAATAATGTTTGATGTCTTCCCATAATACAACAGCAATTGTTGATGTAATAATGTTTGATGTCTTCCCATAATACAACAGCAGTTGTTGATGCAACAACTTTGGTTTTCCATGTGTATGCAATACTGGTATTATGTACAAGTTCATGTCATGATTTTTTTAGACTGTTGCATGCAGTTCTCCATGGAAAAAGTCTCAGGAAGGAGGCAATGACAGTGCTAGAGCACAAAGAGATGGGTGGAAGAAAGAAATTGGAAAAAGTTTTGAAATTCATGGAAAAGGCAGAAATGTAAGTGAAATTCTTTCACATTATAAGTTAATTTTGTTATCTCTCTATGACAATAATGAAAGCTATTTTCTTTTATCTACTGATATTATTACACATAAAGCCAAGAATCAAATACATAATTAACTATGATAAGATACATGTATGCGTCTTTGCAGTAAAGCCAATTTATGATCATTGAATAAGATTTCAGCAGAGTTATTTTGCGTTTTTCTCTCCATAAGGCTACCCCGTGGATCAGAGGAGAGGTTGAACATGTACCAGGAAGTGTCATTCACACTGGGCTCAGCCTGCTATATTCAGGGTGCCATGTCCACCATGTTGTTCACTGCTATGGAGTTTCATGAAGACTTTGAAGGGGGTGTCTTGGCTAATGCAAACATTGGAGGCAAGTTTTTTTTTTTAAATCTTCCTGATTGTAGTGTTTTGGTATCTGAAATTGTTTTGAGTAATTGAATTTTTGAGTTATTATCAATAGGAGGAAAAGAAGTGTAAAATTTGATATGTTTGATTATAACTATTGCTGCAGAGAAATTGTGATACAACTTTATGCTGACAAACTGACATGTAGTATGTTAAGTATGGTTTTTTCATATTGTAAAATTTTCTTTCAGTAAAAATAAGATTTTATTAATAATTTTTTTTATTAAAACTAATTTTCTAGGAGAAAACTGTCACAGAGGGGCAGCACTGGGTGCCCTGCTTGGAGCTGCTACCACCCATCATGGTGTCGGAATTCCTGCTAAATTCAAAGCTGAACTGGGGACATCTAGGGAGAAGCTGAGAGAGCTGACATCAATGAAAAATGAGGGGATTCCCAAGCCATTTCAGGGGGTCTAAGTTGCAATAATTTCAATTGCTCTCCACGTGAACTGTTCAGTATATAGAGAGCTGAAAAGTACAGGGATGTCCAGACTGCACAAAGGATATGGTATTATTCATATAATTATCTGAAAGGATGCTAGATTTTTTTCCCTTGGTTTGAATGTTATATTAATTACAAAACACTAAGGACGGTACGGTCAGTATTTGTATTCATCGTCAGGATCTACTTTTTTGCTGCTTTTTGGGACTACCTCAGTAGACATCTAATCGCATCTTAGGGGCAGAGGACAAATTAGTGTCTTCTTTTATAATTATTCTAACCACATAAAACGATGAAATATGAGACAGAAGAATCACAGTCACTGCCCAACATTAATGGCATGAAAGTTTCAGCTATTATAATTATGGTATTTTTTGTGTTATTAGAAAGGTGGGTATTATTTGCTCTCTTCTTGTTCGAGCGCCATCTGTGTTCCTTCTTTTGTGTGATTTTAGTTACCTCTGATCTCAAGTGATTGTTTAAATCCCTTTGGTCTCACGCAGTTTTCTATATTAATAGTTCAGGGTCATATTCAAACTTCCGTATCTGACATGTTTGTTGATGAAGTTTCTCGTGATCTTAATTTCATTTCATCACTGTCTAGTCCTCTACCTCTGCTTTGTCATGGTAAACTTTGTTGTAAAGATATTCAGTTCCACTGTCATACATTCTAAGGAGGATTATAGAGGTATGATGAAGGTGTGTAGTTAAATTTGTTTCTTATTGATATATACAAATTTAATTACTATGTTACTGATTTGCTTTTATTGTTGTTTTAGGGTACAATACTGACACCAGGTTTTTTTTCAATAAAGAATACTGAATCCCAAACTGCATCATTTTACTTTTCGACTGAACTCGTTAAAATGGGAGCATTATCCTAAATGAAGTCACTTAACAATTTTAACATTAACGTCCATTGATAACTGTAACTAAGTCAATTAAATTACTCAAAAGGGAAATTTCTTTTTAGAGCTTATTGTTTTTTATCAAGTTAAGATTTTTCATTTAAATATTAGAGCGGAAAATCGCTGGTTTTAGCAAAATAAGTCCAGTTTTTCTCTTATTTATTTATTTTATTATATTTAAAGGCTTATTTTACTGTTTATGTTCCCCATCAATCCTGGCCTGACATATCTTAAATGTAACCTCCCACCCACAAAGCACTGAATTTTGCAACCAATCTTCGTTTTTTCATAAGATAGGCACGAATTAATGGCTACCATGCCAAACAAACAGCAGTTATAAAAATTTCCCCCGGTCAAACCTTGGTCACTGTTTACTGGCTTTTTAATTGTATAGGAATCTGAATCTAAGTAGAGTATAGTATAAGTTGTGGGAATAATATTTGGGTTTATTTCCATGGCCAATTAACAGGATTTAGAGCACCTCCTATGTAAAATAGTATCAAAAGCAAGCTGGTGTGCTACCATAAATACTCGTAAAGTCTCCAATAATTTTCTTTTTCTTCATTTTCTTCTGCTGAAAACAAACTGTTCACTTGCACTTTGTTGATAATAGACACGAGACCAAAGAGAAAACTAGAACCAAACCATAGATTTGTACATGAGTCATTTATCATGATAAATATTTATAACAGCTTTGTTGTCGGTACGTTTTTTATAGATATATAAATACTTTATTTACTTTGGATTTTGAGCTGAAGCACAAGAAGTAAAGAAAAGCATTTTTCTTTTTCACAATGTCACATATCGATGGTAATTCATTATTTTCTTAAGTCATTTACTTTCCTCCGGTGAAATGGTCGACGACGGTGCCGGCAGCATCTTTCCCAGTGTTGATCATACCGTGGATTGTGTGGTTCATGTTGTGGAAAGTTTGACCTGACGAAAAAAATAAGAAAGACATAATTAACATATAACTAGTGCTGCCACAATATCAAACAAATAAGACATTTCGTTGTTGATTATTACGTGAACTGCAAATGCTAAGTTTTGGAAATTCTGGCAAATAACAGAGATATAATTTATACCAACAGCTCGGTGATATAAGCGAAGAGATAAAACAAAATTCAGGTAATCGTTATATAGCAAGCACGTCTTTTCTGCATCAGCAAAATTATTGCCTTATATAACTTATCCCGTAAAAGGAGCGCCCATCTAACAGCCGTGAACGTTTCGGAAGAGTAGGGGTCTTTTTCGTTTCACTAAGGTTATATTATTTCTCGAAACAAAATGAACATCCGTCGGCTCAGCTAAGGATGCAAGATATCATTTTGGCTTCTTAGGACCGATCCTCTTATCCATGGCCAGGATGCAACCTTAACTGAACGGACGGGGTGTTGTCGCATTAAAATACTGGAATGGAAAAAGTGATACCAAGGATCTCAGCGGCAGCAGCCTTAAGGGCAGTCAGGGCGTCTGTGCCGTGCTGAACCAAGAGGTTGCCCTTGTCCTTCAAGTCCTGCACGTGACCGGACAGCTTGTCACTCAGGGTGTTCACGTGACCACTGACGGCGTTCCACAAGTTGCTGGCGTGGCCCTTCAGGGTCTGGTGGAGGGTCTTGGCGGCCTGGAAAGTGCGGCGGAAATTAGCTACATGTTGTTTTAGAAGAATTTGGACGTCTGGTACATTCACATTCCTATGGCATTTGCCTTATTTTACTGATGTTTAGAAAAAATGTAATTATCCCGCATTGTCTCAATGTGGTGCCCACGCAACTCATGGTTTTTATTTATTTATTTATTTATTTATTTATTTATTGCCTTTTGCAAATGTTTTCAGGTTTCAGTTCTGTTGGCATGGCTTTCGTCTAATATTTTCGAGTTAGTAAACAGGCACACACAAACACACACACAGTGACACACAAACAGATAGAGAGAGAGAACAAGAGGACGGTAAACTCACGCTGACGACTGTGTCCACGTGTGGTTTAAAAGCTTCAGCAATTGCACTTCCGGCAGAGGCGGTGGCGTTCTTGACACTTTCCCACAAGTCCTTGATGAAGCGTCTGCTTCTGATACCAGACAGCACCTTCTGGGCTTCGTTCTTCAGGTACTTCTCAACAAGACCCTGGAACACGCCGCTGAGGCCGGTGCTCATCTCGCTCAGCTTCCCCTGGACTTTCTGTTCAAAGTCCTCTGAAAACGCATTTTGAAATGTGTAGGGACTGGCGTATTACATTACTACTAATTATATACTTCAGATCATTTCCTATTTTTTTACTCAGTCTACCATTGATGTCGACCATTCTTCCTTGGGTGCCAAGCCGATGTAAAAATAAACACGTATAAAAACCGAGTGAATAATTACACGAACCAGCAGAAAAGCAATAAACACAGAACATTTTATAACGTTGTCATAACGATACCGTACCATACCATATTATAAGATTTTTTGATTACGTAAACGTTATGGTAACGTTATAATAAGCTTTGCGTTTGCAGGTACAGTGTATTAAAACTTACGGATAACCTTGTCAGCCTTCTTGTTCAGGGCGTCGAGGCCCTCGCCAATGAAGGCGCCGGTGCTGACGGAGTCCGTGAGGGCCTGGAGCTCGGTGTGGGCCACCTCAACCAGGTCCTTCAAATCCTCAACCTGTAACATCACACCTCATTCGTACATTTTTATTTTGGAAATGACATATCAATTCATCGTTTTATTGAAACGCCAAGAAATTATGTTCATTTGTCTTTGTAATGGGTTTTATATTTCGTTGAGCGATTTTTAGTGTGTTCTTGAAAACATGGCTCAAATCAGCGAAACTTTTCTTCGGGGACAGGGTTATGTTTACATAAATATCTGTGAAATAGATTGCCCGTCTTTTAGATTTCTTCAAACGGAGAACTTGCAGAGTTTATCTATTTATTTAAAAGCTTGGTTTTCTTACAGTGAATACGTTTTTCCCTTTGCCTGTTTTTTCTTCGGCATTCGTATTCATCTTTACATTAAGGATGCTAAAGTATGATACACAGATATGTCCACAACCTTTGAGAAAATATAATTGCCGAGTTATTTGTTTTACCTTCAACGTTTAAAAAACAATTTTAAAAATAATAAAATTAGGGGAAAATAAACAGAGGCGTTTACCTTGCTGCCGAAAAAAGCCTTGGCGACTTCAATGGCGACGCTGCCATCCTTCAACAGGGCCTCAGAAGCGTCTTTCCCACTGTTCATTGCCTTCATCATGTCGCTGATTATAACTGAAAAGTAACATGTATCATATATGTAACGAGTGAATGCTTGTGGATCCCTGATTCATCTTATTTATAAGATGTTTGACCAGACATTGATTAACGACCCTAATTTTGAAGAAATTTTTTTTTTTTTTTTTTTTTTTTTTTTGCAGTTTTTATCAAAGTTTAACCCTGGTAATCAATTTTAATTTTGTTAAATCAAAACTCAGTTAATTCGGTTGTTTTTGAGTAAAAATGTACTGCATGGAAACTCGTCATTGTTATTTAATTGCACTTTTATCCCGATTTCTGTTCTTACAAACAATTCAGAACCGTTGGGAATTACCGCGCCGTATCTTCAGGCCAGTCTATATTTTAGCTTACACAAGAGATACAATGAATATTTCCAACAATATTGATTGGAATTTTATTTTTTCATTATTCTCAATTTCCTCCATCAATGTACCATCTATTCTATGGGGTCAGCAACTGCCCTGGCCTGCAAACTCTCCAGATTTGAACCCAATTGAAAACCTTTGGGCAAAAGTAACTCACAGAATTAATAGTCATTGGCCGGTAAATAGTGATGAACTGCGACAGGAAAATATCACTGCGTGGAATGATATCCCTATCCAAACTCTAAAAAACGTGTCACAGGGTATGCCATGTAGGATGAGGGCGCTGCAAGCGCCTGCTGGAGGTCATACCCGCAATTACTGACTTTTCATGATTTACTGTATTGAGTTCTTTGACTGTGTAACATATCACTGTCCATTTTCTTTAATATCTTAGCTTAAAGTTAATACTGACATCAAACTGTTGATATGGTTTTCTGGGGGTGTTCCTTTCTTTTGAATGGCATCTTATGTCAGATTTGATATTATTAACCAAAATATCTCACAACTGAAGACTGGATGCTTTTATCACTCAGTGACATACTTTTTTTGATGAATCCAGCCAAAAAAATGTAATTAGCACTCAAAAATAACGATGATAAAAAATATTCCATATTAAATAGCAACCCTGTACATTTCCAGTCAAGTTGTAACTCTGAGTTCGTTGTACAAACTTTTGTAAATTGCTTTTTTAAACATTTACAAAAAGAGATCGTACTCCACGGTGAAAGCCAATAAAGAAACAACTTTTCATAAAATATATTTTATTTGAAAAATATATGAGACCCATATCATATTAATCAGTCCAACACGGTGTTACATCATGGTCACATTTTAGCGCAAATGACTCCCCCCAGTGGCCACCTGTTAGAATCGCACCAAGCCTTTCCACCTGTTACATTCGATCGTGACAGCGGAGAGATAAAACTGAGATAAATCATTTGGCAGCAAGTCAGGGCGGGATTAGATAAACGCTATCGTTGCTAAGCGTATAGAGATGATCAGCTACCATTTTACGTTAAATTTTGAAGATAAAATATCAGTGAACATGCAATTAGTCTTTATGATTTTAATTCGGAACTTGATTAGTACGATGGTTTTTAAGTACAAAATGTACTGCGAGACTTAACAGCGTATCCCGACTTAAGGCCCAAGTTACATAAGAATCCGATTTTAAATGTATTTTCACACAAGCTGTAGAAAATGCCAGACGAAATAACTCTTTATCTAATTTCGTTTAGATAATTCAATATAGATGTTTCTTTTTGTAAAATACAAACCCATTTGGATGAGTTAAAAGGAAGAAATATCAATAGTCAGCGATCTTTTTTTCAACATTAGTTAAAATATTTTGCGTTTTGAAATACAAAGCCACGAAGTAAAATCTTATTAAACATGATATGGAATTGATACTTACGGGAGGCAGCAGATTCGATGTAGGATTCTCCCATCTTCTTGCCCTGTTCCAGGACATTCTTGCCCTCCTCCTTCAGACTCTTGACCAGGTCGCTGGCCTTAAGAACATCGTCAAAGATACTGGCGCTGGCCAGGGCCAGGCAGCACGTGAGAACGGCGAATACTTTCATGTCTGTTTGCTACTGAAACCAAAAAGAATTTATTAATAAACAATCAACGAAGTAAACAAACGAAAGCAAAATTTTGAATGCAGCAAACTGTAGCAATTGACACAAGACTTTGCCATTCATGTTTTTATGAAGATAAGGGATCGATTATTACTTCAAATTTCTCCTGACTGGAATATGAACAGTTATATTTTTATTCAGTTCAATTTGTTTCTGTCCTGGTACAAATATTATCATGACCTTGTACAATATTTTACAATAAAACAATAATAAACAAATAATTTTTATATAAAGGAAATATGTGCTAGCGATTAGATAAAACTTCTTTATCTATAAACACAAATCATGAAATATACGGTTATTGAGATAATTATTTTTTGTTCAAGTTTACGAAATATTATAAACCTTTAAGAAAGTGCAATCGATGGAAGGCGTTGACAAAAAAATTGAACATGTATCTATACATCTATCCATTAAAATTAATTAAAAATATGTGAAGCATTTGGTAACTTAGCTCACAAAATTATAATGAGACTTTGGAGTTATATAATCAAAATTTAGCTAGATTAGGCAACCATCGCCGAAAAAAATACAATACTTTTCGAAAACTGTATCTACGATAAAATAGAGGTTTTGGTTCTTACCGTGGACTCTCCTCTTGTGTTTAAAGACCGAGCTATCCCCAGCTGCGTCTTATATGATCTGTTCCACCCCTTGCAATACGTCACAAGGACCAACGAATCGTGACAAGGAGTGTCATTCCTGGTAAGTGTGTCATCTTCAAGGCATAAGCTGTTTCCAGTTTCATAATTAAGCTTCGGTTAATTCATAGCATGTCAATACCTAATTCTTGATGCGATCGTAAAATTGCATTTTTAAGTTATTTCCAGTAAAGAATTGTTTTGCCTTATATTGATATACTTCAATAATGCTATATATATTGCCAATTTGAAATCGTTTCCAATCAACTTGAATGAGCTTTGCTTAACGGTATGGTTTTGGGCAGATAGAATATTTTTATTCCCCTTGTACCAACCAACTTCATTTCAATGTTGCATTTAAATCTGTGAGCGAAAGGGGAGGCTATATTAATAAGAAAAGATTGCATTTGGAAAGGATTTTACTTTATCTGAACGAAATTTTTAAGGTCATGACCGTGGAGAGGGTGTATCAACATGAATCAAATAGTTTTCCTAATAATAGCAATGGCGTACTCTATAGCATAAATAAGCTTTTTTACAACTTGAACATTCAAGAAAGTTTGACTATTCACGTAGTTTTGTGTGCATTTGAGTAGGCCTACGTGTTTTTTTTTTAATGTTTACGAAGAAACCCGTCAAAATCACTGAAGTGTAGGGAAAACCCGATAACATTCGCCAGCGAAGTGAATTACTTGCTGTGTATGCAGACGAAGGATCAAGCGAATAACCGTTCAGAGTTATGCGCACTATGTTTTGATAAGTTTCGAAATGGCCTAGCAAGTCAAAATGGGTACATGACCATAATGTTTGCAATGGTGAGATAAGCACCACCTGCTATAAACCTATATTTTGACGCTTGCATAAGTCATCACGAAAAGCCTTTTCTTGTGAGAATGAAAATATTGAACAAAATGCGATCCCATGTCGATTTTGGCATGTCGTGACGCCTTCGCAATCCCCCATGTTAACACGAAGAGAAAATGTATTTGAGAAATTTTAATTATATTAGGTCGTTAAATGCGTTGGATTTGAGGAGGCGAAAAATAGGGGGATAACGCTGGTTCATGTAATAAGCAGGACACGCAACTATGCTTCTTATCTATAAGACTCTTAGAGAAAGGCTGTATGCATTAATATTGACTTAGAGGAATCCAGAAGAATTAATAATATCGGCTTTAGAGTGAAGAGTGATGGTGGACAAGCCCTGGACAGTCCAAACTATCAAGGGCGTCTGCAAGAAAGTGAGGCTAAGGATAGGCCTACCGAATTCTTTTCTTCCACACAGTATTTGTTTACTCTGATGTGTGCATTACATTACATCTTAAGATATCTGAGAAGTGTATTTCTACTTGATGTATTTTGTGCAAATTTGATTGAAAGTGATGAGGAACATTAAATTAAAAAGATAAGCAGATTTTGTTCATGGTTACACTAAAATTTTGAAACCTCAGAATAAATACAAGTCGAAAGCCGCACACCGCTCTGCATAGAATACAAGTCACATTCTCTCCAACATATGGATAATTTTCAAGGATATGTCCAATATTTAACCTCTAGATTGTCTCTTTAAATTTGATAATCATATTCACTAGTATGTTGGAGTTTACAAGCCAGAAATAGTCAAACGAATGTTTATTTATATCAAAACATCTCTGTCTTCTAAACAAGCACCGCTGAGAAGCAGAGGGGCATAAATCGTAAATTAAAAATGTCAATGAAAACACCCGTTGACGCATCATTTCAGAATAACCGTCTGGTCATTTGGCTTTATCAAAGTTACCCCATTCGCACATCATTCAGGTCACCAATGACACGGGGTTCTTTTGTTTCTTACGAAATAAGATAAGAACAAACAAATTATTTGCCGATGGGCTGACCACTTAGATAGGGAGTTGGACTGGCTTGTGTTCTTTATGAATCTTAGCCGTCTTAGTAATAACCTATTAGACATGACAAACTGATATATATATTTGATTGATGCGATACATGAATAAAATGATTTCGGTATGAATAGCAAGTGAAAAACATAAAATTTGAAAAGTATGTGCAATATACATAAAAACTAAATTTGACAAATACTTCTGAAATCTTTTAGTTTGGAATATAACCGAATGTGTATCATCTTTTTTTTACTAAAGTACCTCCCAGGAAAAAAGCATACCTGCACTCTAAAACAAAATAAATAAATAAAAGAAAATAAATAAATAAATAAATCGCGTCATTGAACCGCGAAAAATGTTAATAGTTTTGACCTTAATTCCGCTCGGACTAGCACGTTCTGTAAATAGAGAAATCACGAGAACAGCCAGCTGGACACAGAGAGATCCAAGGTCATTAAATATGCATATACATTTATGTAGGTGTCCTTATATAACTACATCATATCTCATTACGTACAGACCCTCTGCAGAATGGGGAACGTGTCGGTCGTCTCTGCCCTGGTTTGTCTTCTTGGGGCGTGTCATGTCTTGGACAGCGCCCCTGCTGGCGATGGCTTCACCCACAGCACGGTTCTAAGGGAGGGGGAATACTACCTCTGGTGGAAATATGATGAGCAGTATATAACGTTTAAAGCGCAGGCGAAAACTACAGGATACCTGGGGTTGGGGTTTTCTCCAAATGGCGGAATGGTTAACGCTGATATCATTATGGGCTGGGTGAAAGATGGAAAAGTGTTTCTGCAGGTAATTATAAGTACATGTACTAGTATAATTATATACACTGGGCTGTTACCTTGATCGTTTGTTGAATCTAAAACCCACCAAATAGCGATATGTATTGATGTATACTAGTCTAACAACATGAAAAAACTATCAAAATCTGTTAAGTATTTCTTATCGAATTTATTGAAAATCCCCATTGGCAGCCATACAAGTGTAATTTTTAAGTTCTCTTGACTTCAGAACTCTATTACATGTGTACAGTAGATTGTGATTTCCTTAATCATTTTGGACAGAGTTTCTAAGAGCAGGGAATTATATCGATATAATTCCCTGCTAAGAGTAAATTGCTGAAATATTATGTTTTATCTTTCGGCTTCAGAATCCAACTTTCATTTTTTGTCCGTAAAACAGATATGTAAACGAACGTTATTCATACTTTTAGGACAGATTCGCCACCCGTTTTGGTCAGCCCGCCATTGACAACAAGCAGGATGTCGAGGTCGTTAGCGGAAGTGAGAACGGAACTTTTACGACCTTGGTGTTCAAAAGAAAACTGGTTTCTTGCGATCCGGAGGATAGAACAATAGACGTAACTATAGTTTGGAAATTTATTTAGGGCTCGGTTTCAAGTAAATGTAAGCAACATGTACGTATTTTGATTAGCCATATCACAGGATGATATGACATACGTATGTTATTCAGGTTTATTGATTCTTTAACTGCTTTTTTAATTTTGATGTTAAGACATGCATCAATACAATACTCTCCTACGTATACTGTATATGTGGCCCCAAATGTTTTGTATTCTGCATACATGTAGCCTGTATGTCTGTTTTTTCTTTAAATCATGTCTCAATTTCAAACGTTATATCTACGGATCTTATAATGTACACTTCATATTGTATGTTTTCTAGGAAAGCACCATCCGTGTGATCTATTCGTACCGTGATGGTGACCCAGACACACCCACTGGGGTGTCTTATCACGGGAACCAGAGGGGCACCAAGTCCATCCAGTTACTGTCCTCCCAGGCGTCCCAAAACAACCCCATCATGCCCAGTGACGCTGTCACACATGATCTATTGAATAACAAGGTTAGAAACAGATACTGACATTGAATGATGATGTTTATGATTGAAGGAGTTATAATTGCACCTGAAGGCTGTTACTGATACAGTCTCAGTAACAAAAATTTACATTTACTTACGAGGTATTTTATATTCTCTTGTATTGGGAATTTCCTTTCGTATTTCAACTCGCGTCAATAGATATTTATCCAATTGAAAATCATCTGACAGTGTGATATTCTTTGTTTCTTTTACCACTATTAATACATAATCTTCGCATTATGGTACTTTTAATGTAAGTTTTCACGTTTTTTAAATCTTAAATCCCTACTATTTCTCGTTTTCAGGTTAAGGTCCCAGGTAAGGACACCACCTACTGGTGCCAGGGTTTCAAGGTACCTAAGGCATCGAAGGTCCACCATATGATTAAGGTGCGTGTTTAATGATCTCACCAGGGTGTTTAATGATCTCACCAGGCCACACAGCATGGTCATATTCTGTGCGACGATACAAAACAGTGTCTTTTGGCGCTCGTGTACTGTATACTAGTAGTCACGATTTAATGGCACATACCATGGAAACGTGCACACATGAACCATTTTACGTCCATATCATTATTTTTATTTTTATTTAATAAAACTGATACATATCGTACCCTGTATTTTTATTATTTCAACCTTTTATTGATATATATTTTTTTGCTCCCTGAAGTTCGAACCAGCCCGGCCACATATCCAGTATTTATATCGTTTGTCTTTTTATTCATTATTATTATTATTATTATTATTATGCTCTCTAAAGTACGAACCAGTCATCCAGCCTGGCCACGAAGCCTTAGTTCACCACATCCTGGTGTACGCATGCTACCACGATGTCCAGGATGCCGACCTGTACCACAACAGAGGAGTGGAGTGCTATTCTGGAAATATGCCACCGACTCTGAGGCAGTGCTTCAAACCGATCATAGCGTGGGCCATTGGAGGAGGGGTAGGCCTTTGTAACGTTTCTTTTACAGCAGATGTTTTGGGAGTAAAACTTTTGTGAGAATGAAAGCCTATTGAAAATTCTTTTGGTCCCCATTCAGAATAGGGTACTAACTAGTCCGAGGGTCAAAATGGCCGACCCACTTGAATACTTCCATACGGGTCTATCTATTCAGTGTCTATTAGCGGATGGCAAGTTTTGTCATAGACAGTAATTTTTAACCATCTTTTACAATTATCCATGACAATTCTAGGCCTTTTACTACCCGGAACACGTAGGGTATCCTTTTGGAGACAAAGATAGTCCAACTTTCCTCATCATGGAAACTCATTATGATAATCCACAAGAAAGGTCAGGTAAGCTACGCCAAAGCTCAGCTCGCAACAATGTTTCCAAAATGACAACGAGGTTTTATTAACTCTCTGGAATGGAAAAAAGCAAATGTATCAATTCAGCATAACCACCATAATTGTACACTTCTGTGGGAAAATTGGGATCAACCCAAATACTTGTTAATATATGTCAAATACTTATAGAGTTATTATATTAGCTAATCGATAATGAATATATGCTTATTCGATGTAACTATCCATAGATTACGTCGATTCTTCTGGAATTCGAGTGACAGTAATCCCCAGAAGACGGCAGTTCGACGCTGACGTCATCGAGGCCGGAGTCAGTGTTAATCACAATCACGTGATCCCTCCACATTACCCAGAGTTCTATTCATGGGGCCACTGTAACTCCCAGTGCCTTTCCAAGGTAAAGATCTCGAGTAAAATCATAATGCCCAATTCAAAATGAGCATTTGGTTTCATCCAGCAATCCGCCATCCAGCTTTTTCATTTCAACGCCATTTGGTTGAAGTTTACTGCGCCAGTGTCACTGGTCTATTTACTACGTCACATTTGCGGGACCACAAGTCCCCAAAAATGAATGTGCGCCTGTGCTTGGTGCGGTAAAATTCAAACAAACTTACCGCAGAGTGTAGCGTTCGATAGTTTGGTAAAATCTCTTATCTTGGACAAATAACACGTATTATTTGTCCCAGCTCTGATATACATCTTATATATTATACATCTTATACGTCTTTTTAGGCTTTGGTCAGCCAGCCTTCAGGCATCAAAGTGTTCGGAACTATGCTTCATGGGCATCTGAAAACCACTGGGGTCCGAGTACGTCACTTCCGGAACGAGAAAGAGCTCCCTCTATTGACGTACGATGATCAGTACGATTTTAACTACCAAGAAGCGAGACACATGAAGAGCGAACGCGTTATTAAATCGGTAATTGTTTGCTCATGTGAGAAAAACTGATTAACTCAGCAGTAACACTTTTACCCTAGATTTGTTCTTTTGACATGAGTTAGCTGAAAACTACAAGGATAACTTGAAATAACTACAAGAATAACACACGCATGATGCTTTTTTCAAACCCATATACTATAGTCCTTGTACTTAAATTTCTATCTCACGGGATTGTGAGTACTACATTGTCTATATTTTCTGATCATATCTTCTATTTTCAAAGCAAAATAAAAACACATATTATCTTATGTGATTTCTAAACCAGGGCGACTCAATACTGGTGCAGTGCCGATATAAAACCACGGATGAAACAGACATCACATACGTAAGTAGTGTGGACCCATGATTGGTACAAACTCTACGAACTGCCTACCCTCTACCGGGGCCATGGGCCTTATTTGATTACGTTTTCCTCATCTGGAAGAGAAAGATTATATTGAAGACTGGGGAATGGACTTTGAAAATAAAACTTATGTAAAATAGACTTGTTTATAGTCTTACATCGTTCAGTATTAATTTAATATCATTATTTTAATATTATCATTTCATGGTAGGGAGGACTGACGACTAAAGAAGAGATGTGCCTGGCGTACCTGTTGTACTACCCGAAGATCTCCCTGAAAGGCTGCAAGTCCCAGAACAGGCAACAAGAACTGGGCCAAATCGCTAATGCTCTTACCACGTGAGTTGTTCAGTACACAAATAAAGCGCCTCTGCATGTATAACAAATTATTAATTTTCCTAGAAATTTAATGGGAATGCCCTTAATCCCTCCAAACTGTTGACAAAATTGGGATCTTTAAACTTTGTCGAGTGTGCTTTCCAGTGTAAGCATATAATCACATTTTTGCTGCGAGAAATAAGATTTCATAGAACGCACCTTTTAACGTTATTATTATTATTATTATTATTATTATTATTATTATTATCTAAACTGGATATCTAATAAATGTCATCAGCCTCTTGCACAGTGTTCTCTAACGGCATATTATGTGTCCATTGCCCACCCAGGCCAGCGAATTCAGGCAGCGGCAATTTCCATAGCCTTCTGGCACAGAAGGTGGACTGGACCGATCAGTCGACCCGGGAAACATTCCAGGAGCGAGTGCTCAGCGGGCGGCGCAGACACCAGTGTGAATACCACGATAAAACAGAAGTAAGTTTGCGCAGTGTTTGAATTGTGCCTGGGCCCGCGTGAAATATGTCCTATGTCAATTGTACTGGTCGAAGAAAAGGAAATGTCACAAATTGCATCATGCACGGTTGTATAAATGTATTACGGTATACTGCCCTGTGAAACGTTGCACGGTCATCCTGGAAAATGAATTGGTAGTTGCGATAAGGGAATGTATTCATTGCATGTGCTCTAGTTATCCAAAACCCCGAAAACCAGCTCTCTAATGCCTTTTTACCCAGGAAATTCCAATACCATGTTGGTAACAGCTTTCCTGTAGTTTTAAAACACTGATCTTAGGAATATGTTTCATTGTATTGTTTTTAGGTCTGTTGTACCAATGTACCAATGTTTATTATGTTTCGGTTAGAGGGTGAATTTTTTATCTTATTTCTTTTCAGTATTTAACTTTGCCAGCGCTTAAGAACGCTAAACCGTCGACAGGACCCGTGACCACCTGCTCCGTGAGCGGCGGGTCCCTCATAGGATAGTCCCTCCGCCCCTAGGGGTGGGACTCGACGCTGGAAGCTTTCAACTCTTTTTGCGTTCAGGCATAAATAACTAAATAAATGAATGAATAAATAAAAATAATAATAATGTAATAATTATGATTACAGACTTCCTGTCATTTTAGTTTGTTTAACAGACTACTTTGTAATTTTTCCTGAATTTTTCTCACACTACCGGAAGTAGAGCATTTCACAGCCTAATGTTAAACGCGTTCAGCACCTTGGAAAACGACTCCGTTCATTATTAGGAAAAATTACACTTAAAATTTAGAAAACGCGTAACGTGTGTGCTCCCCATATCAACCCTCATAATTTTTTTCTTTGAATTCCTTTTTGGGGGTTCTGCAATCGAACCTGAACTCAAAGCCGATATACCGCATGGGGGGAGAAGCGTGCCGTTTCAGGAATTCATTCATGCAATTGTATGCTCTTCTGGATATGATCACAAGATTTCTCCGATATGATCTTACTGAACAGTTGAACCGCTGCAATAAAACATTGAAAATAGCAAAAAAATCGTCAGTTTTTGTCTGCATTATGGAAGTGTCTCGCACGGACAAGCACGCACGCGCGCGCATACACACAGGAAAACATTTTTCTTTACGTTCTCTGCAACTTCTACATTATGATAAAATTGCAAACTCATGCATACTGGTAAATGACGCACATTTGCCTTGAACTTTGTCTGCCAAAGAGAATTAACCTAGAATATCAACCCTGAGTGCGGGCGTCAGTTGAGAGCAAAAGAGAATTGAGGGAAAACGAATTAGTGTCATTTGAAGCATCCCTTTCGGTCACTAGAATTTTAGTAATAATAATAATAATAATAATAATAATAACAAGGAGAAGAAGAAGAACGTATTCTTTAAACAATCTCACATAAAACGTGTATCTCTAAATGTATACATAGGACCTACTCGAATCCAAAGAGTGACCTTTCCCAATGAACACATCTGTGTATCGACGTTATTTCTCTGACGTGAAAATATTCCGTATGGGAGTACGGTGCCTACCAAGGAGACTCTCAAACAAATGAAAAATGATACTTCCTCTTGCTGACCTGATTTTGGTGTGAGTTTTGTGGGTTCTTTTTTTCCTCAAGAAAGGGATGTTGAAGAAAAAATAATCAAAAGGGATTCAGGCAAAGGAAAAGGGCGACAACTAATAGTTTTCCGCCTAATTTTCTTATGACAAACCTTCTCGGGAACTTATTATTGCACAGAATAGTATTTTTAAAAGTTACAACTTTACGGGCAACATAAATTCCGTTGCTTTGCATCATAATCCATTTTATCTGAAGTACAACCAATTGAACAATTCACAAAAGAAAATTGAACGATGATTTTCACGCGTGCTGTCATCGTTGGATACTTTCTTCTCAGCGTTGTATTCGCACAAGCCACTTCAACAGGCAGTGATGGCTTCACACATAGCATTGTGCTGAAAGAAGACGCATATCACCTTCTCTGGAAGTTTGACGATTTAAGTATTACGTTTGAGGCGCAGGTTAAGACCACCGGGTATGTTGGTCTGGGGTTTTCACCAAGTGGAGGAATGTCCAGTGCTGATATTGTACTGGGCTGGGTGAAGGACGGTCAAGCGTATCTGAAGGTAAGGTCCAGAACGATTACAATTTCTTAATGATTTTTGTTCTACTCCTTTTTAATGCTAAAACGTTATCAGCCGATATGGCGATCTAGATGAACAATATTTGATTAATTTATCAAGAAACGAGTCACAAACATTGGAACGTAGCGTAGTTCAAGCAAGCTTATTCTTTTGTATATATATAATTATACATGTATACTGACATACTATTCAAGGTTCTTGAGATTCTGAAGTCACGATATATAAATTGAGCTTGAAAGGGGTAATTATTTTGGAGCATCCACGTTCACTTTCGCTTTGAATAAGTTTATTCAGGTGTGCTCTTTTTTATTTACTGACAGCAGTCCTGTTTCAAATGGGATCTTTGTCGAAAGGGGTTAATTCTAAAAATCAAAACATGTATTAAAGGATCATTTAAAGAACGTTCTAATGAATGTAGCTGGCACAAAAAGATTGTTTTGGATATGAATTATGAGGCATACATTTGATGATTAACATATTTTTAACTTGTACTATGCAGGATAGTTATGCAATCTCTAAAGACGCACCAAAAACAGACGACAATCAAGATGTCGAGCTGCTTTCCGGCAGCGAAAACGGAACTTTTACGACATTACGGTTCAGGAGAAAACTGGACACGTGCGATCCACGTGATTTTGTGATAACGGTAATTTTACCAATTAGTAGAAATATGTTTTAATGGAAAGAGTACTTGCTTGTTATAGTATAAAATGGGCCGTTCCATTCGAAGTTTGCAATAAAACCCTTTTCTTGCATTTTTTTTTAAATTGCAACTAAGCCATATGCAAATCAATGCTTGCACTAATCTAATTTAATAAATGCCAAGTTTTAAGAGGTGTAGTTGATGAATGATAATTTTTATGCAGAGAATTATTATTAAGCTTTAATGATATTTATCGATTAACTAGTCAATGTAATATATCCCACAGAAAAAAAATACATGTTTATTTTACATTACCCACTTAAAATAAGTATGTTTATATTTCTCGAGATCAAGCAGTACAAGTGATAATGGTATGCTGAAGAAATTTTAGTTCAAGTATATAATTAATATATTTTCTCATCGTAATTAATCAAGCATCTCGTATTATTCAGACGAGCACCGTGAGACTCATATGGTCTTATCATCTTCACGACCCTGACACAGACATGGATCTGCGTTACCATGGTTACCAAAACCGCGGGACGAAAAGCGTTCATCTGTTGGCACCTGCCCAGCCTTCAGGAAACATGGCGGACCCACCCGACGCCTACCATGTGGAAATGAGAAATACTAAGGTGAGAAATGTTCTAAATTATAAAATTTGTCAATAACTTATGACAGGTATATCTATTCGTTTATGCTCTTTAATCGCCGCGTCGGCTTATATTAAATCCTAAAACACAACGGGGTCTCATGAAACAAGTTGTCCAAAATGTCAGCACGCATATACATAATCCTATTGAGAAAAGCTGATTTGGGGGGGGGGGGGGGTTGCTTGTTCATGCTGGTATCATAACATACCTTTTTCACTTGAAAATGAGCTGTGGAGGTATTTCTACAACAACGTTAATATGTCACTAATGAAAGTAGCCAGACTGAACAGATGTGAGGGCATGAAATACGGCAGAAGGCCTTGTACTATACTACATGTATGAAAAGTACGAGAAGTTGAAGTTATTTTGAACTTGAATAACTTTTATCGAAGTGTTTTAAAAACTGTCACATTTGAATGGTAACAGAAATAACACCTGGAAAAAAGTGCACTTAAGCAAGTCTTGGGTAGCACGATTTCAACTGGTGCCGTCTAACGATAAATGAAATTATTTACAAAACAAGGAGCTAAATATTTTCCCGTAATCAAAACACAGAACAGGCGATAGATCAAAGTAAAGAGGAACAATAGACATGCCATACAATAAGACCCTTCTTCTTTAACAGAACTTTAACCACAACGGCCGACTCACAATCTCAGCTACCGCTCTGCCAAACGTGTCCGCAGATGTCATTTCCATCGTTTTAACCACGAGTTTCAAATGACACCCTTTTTTGCTTGTATTAAGGAAAAGGAGCGGGGCTGTAGATTGTGAAGATTGTCAATACACTGATTGCACTTTAGCGACAACCTCTCACAGAGTTGGACCGACTAGTACGGTGTGTGAATCTAAGACCGCATTTAGTTATGTGTGCCTCAGAGTGCGGCCCTATTTCACTCAGAAAGTCCCACAAATAAAAGCTATTTGATCGGAAATGCGTTGCATTGAAAATAGATATTGAACCTTTGTGTATGTGTGTGTGGGAGGGGGGGGGGGATAGCAGAGCTGGAGGTAAGAGGTAACAGACACTACAAGCTGATCTAATGCTTATATTACCCCAGAAAACCTCACTGTCAAATCCCTCTATTTCACATTTGTTTCTGTATCATGACAAGGTTTGCTTTTTTTTGTGTGCAAAACAGAAAAGGCGCAGTAGAGCTTAATAAGTAGTAGTTCAAGATGTCAAACAAAAATCAACCGATTTCGACAAATGCTGTCGTTTTACTGAATGAAACGTTTCCAGAACTTAAATTGCTATATACCAGCGGCGTAGATAATAAAAACCAATTACGTGAATTTAGTATTTAATGTTGAAAAATCCTTTAAAACTTTGACACAGGGTCAAATCTAGGGCATTTTTATATACAAGCCACCGCGAACGACAAGGAAAAAAGTATTATTTGTTTGTATCAAATATAAACACAACAACAAATCCCCAACGCATTTAGTTTAAACTTTGCATTCCATGCTCTAAAAACTGCACCAGTTTTTTTCCTCGTTACAAAAAATACTCACGCTATGAGTAAAAATAAACTGTAAAATTAGCAATCCAAAACAACCGAGAAAGTAGGTGACCTGGAATAGCACTGGAATGGGACCCGAATGTCAAGATCAAGCAACTAAGAACGCATTCAGAACAGCGGACTAACAGATCCGTGGATCAAATATGGCGATCCATTAAAAAGCTTGCCGCTTAATTCCCGATTAGACACTGAATAGGTTCCCCGCGGGGATTACGCAACAAGCATTCAAGTGGGTCGGCCATATTTGATCCACGGATCTGTTAGTTCGCTGTTCTAAATGCGCTCTCTCTCTCTCTGTTGCAAGTTCGAGGAGGTGACCTGCACTCTTTCACTGGAACTGAATTTGCAAAAACTACGTACATTTTCAAATGGTCCCTTAACAGGCCTACCCAACTACCAGACTCAGCACCTAAGGATCCTGAATTAACCGGTATATCGGACCACACTACCCGTTTTCAAGGTGTGTGTCAGATCGCATTTCGGAGTATCAGCCAGAACACCGACAGGCTGAGCCCTGTCATGCTCGGCTGACACCTTGATTGGATAGTAAACGTTTGTCGTAAAATCGCTATATGATTTTAAAACCGGGTGCATAAATTTGAAAAGCCACCTAGATGAACCTTAGACTGCCACATAAATCTAATACAATGCAAAAAAGCCCTATCAAAAGTGGTTAAAACATTCAAACCGAATGTCGTTAAGTCCCCATATATCCCAACAGAGTACTCTAAAGTAAGAGTACAGTTTAAGGTTGTTCAGCCGAGCGTGGAAGAGCCCGCAGTCGTGCTACCAAATTTGTTCTGGAGTATGATACTCGGAAATGCGATCTGACACACACCTTGAAAACGGGTAGCGTGGTCCGATATACCGGTTAATTCAGGATCCTTAGGTGCCGAGTCTGGTAGTTGGGTAGGCCTGCTTAATATAATTAAACATAAACTGCGCATTTCTATGAGGGCTCAGCTGCACGTACCAGAATCTAATCTACAGGCTCTATCTATCCATGGTGAGTAGAAGTTTGAGATAGTTCCTGATCATATGCATCCCGTTTTTCTTTTAGGTCCACCTACCGGCAACTAAAGACACTATCTACTGGTGCAATGGGTTTAAACCACCCGCCACAAATGGCGTGCATCACGTGATCAAGGTAGGCAATATAATATTTTTACAGTGTTTTATAATGAACTACACGAGTCTTGAATGTGTATTTTACTTCATGTAACTTAGATATGTGCTATTAAGTACTAGCAAGATGCACTCCTGGCCACGAAGAGTATTGCAACTGATAAGCAAACCACAATATCTACAACCTACAGGATCCATGCAACTTACAACATAGGAAAGCGACGGTCTCACAATTTGAGCACTACTGTAAACCGCAAAACATTTCCTTTTGATCTGCTAAAAGATTGTTTAAAAGTACCACACGAAAGAAATGATATGTTGCAAATAGCAAAATATTTTATTTTTGGTTTTGGACAGGGTATTTATATCTTTATTATTATTATTATTATTATTATTATTATTATGCTATAAGAAGGTTATAAGGCGCGTTAATTTGCCACATATTTTCAGTTTAATGCTATTATACAACCTGGCAATGAGGAATTTGTCCACCACTTAATACTGTACGCCTGTTTCCACGATTTCAACACTACTGCGCATGACCGGAAGGAATGGGAATGCTACACGCCAAATATGCCACCGACAATGGTCCACTGTTACAAACCTTTTATTGGCTGGGCTATTGGATCAGGGGTACGTAAGGAGATTCAAAAATTAGGTCTTTTGCTTGTAGACATTCAGACTCCCACGCTTTCTTATTCTCCTCATTAATTTGAACGTAAAGTTCTATGCTCAAAATTACTCAAAACTTTTCAAACTTTTAAAATTAATTTCTTTTAAAATAATCAACGTTGCGTAAGCAATATTTACAATTAATTTCATGTTCAAGTTATCCTAGACCGTTTTACGTTATCCTGTGCGAATTAAAAAAAGCATTATCAATGTTTGTTTTTCTGCCTGTATTAGGAATTCCGATATCCACCCCACGTCGGCCAGCCATTTGGTGGGGAAGGGGATCCCACGTTTCTGATCTTGGAGACTCACTACGATAATCCCGCCAAAAGAAGAGGTGACGTATGAAATATGTATAAAAATAAAATGTAGGCCTACAGATTATTCAGTCAACAAATTAATTATAAAATAATAATAACAATAACAAGGAAATACAACCAACACGTTATTTCAGTATACAGTAAGCATGAGGCATATCCGTACCACGCCTTTTCAGTCTAAGCCCATTATTAAGCCCCTTATTTGTAAGTATTTTTTTACAAGATTCAAATGAAAAAAGCAGTGCGTTTTTATATGCGTGAAAGGCTATTACAATTATAAAATACAAAACGAGCTTTCAACAAAATTAATATTATTTCAGGTGTCATTGACTCTTCGGGCTTAAGACTTACCTTCATACCTCGACGACGCCAATTCGACGCAGGTAAATAATTTCAGACTTAACAAGGCTCCTTTTCCACATCAGCGGTATACCTAAGTGATACAGCTGTGCCGATACACTTTGAGACGTCAATACATGTACCTACGTTACAGAAGATTTTACTCGCTTTCACAAGTTCTCTACCTACTTTTGGGGCGAACTTGAGCGGCTCGTAGTACCAGCTTCTTATATGTTGTCATTCTGTCAAAATGTTCCGTTAGAAATGTACCGTTGAAGCACAGCGCTCATTGTGAAAAAGAGTGCTACTATTGTATGACTTAAGTGATGATAAATGATGGTAAATGATATAGAACAGAAGTTGTTGAGTTAGCTTACAACGTTTATTCTTATAAATAAGGAACTGACATAGAATAAAAAACAAACACAGACTATTTGGAGGAACTGTAAGATGATAAGAGATATTTTCTGTGCTGTAAGGTATTATTCAAACTGGCGTGCTGGTGAACCTGACCAACCACAACATTCCACCATATTATTCCAAGTTCTACAACTGGGGCCAGTGTGATTCTGGATGTCTGTCAGAGGTAGCTATGAACATTTTTTTATTTGCCACAGATAATTTTCGTGTAAAAACAGATGATGTGTGTTTAAAGCTAAAGCAGTTTTCATGTTTGTCTTTCAAATTTTTGTAGTAAGTATTGTAGAAAATGACTTATTTTTATCCAGGCCATGAAAAACAGGACCAATGAGATACACGTGTTTGCAACCCTTCTTCACACTCATCTCATTGGTTCAGCCGTCTACGTACGTCACTTCCGGGGACAGGTAGAACTTCCTTGGCTTTCTCACGACGGGCATTACGACTTCAATTACCAAGAATATCGACATTTGCCAAAGGAAGTAACAGTGAAGCCGGTACGCCCCTACTGTAAAAAATATTTTATATATTCTATATATTAGACTTATTTACAATAATAAAAGAAAACAAAGGTACTTATGCCATGAACGTCAATCAATAAAAAAGGGAAAGTATAGACGTGGGTTAACTTGTGCAACAGCTAAAGATTATGACCGGCAAAAATTCATGAGCACTGCTTAAAATTGAGGAAAGGTTTGAATGCCAGTATTTTAGATAAATTAAGGTTAGGATCATCGTGAATAACGGACCGGATTTGATTGGTTATAATTTTAATTATAAAAAATGTTCCGTAGCTTATTTATCGACACCGTCACCTTTAAAAGATGAATAAGAACATTAAATAAAATGACATGGAATTAAACAAAGTAAAAAAATACTTATTTAAAAGCACAAATTAAAAGCTTAATTAAAAATCTTATTTTTTCTGATCTTTCAGGGAGATACGATAGTTACGTATTGTCAGTATAATAGTGCTAGAAAGAAGAACTTTACTTGGGTACGTGGTTGGATTTGATAAGTATAAATGTAAACATATGTTGCTTCTGACCAGCACACCAGACGCTGCTATCTTTGTTAATGAGTCGATTTTCTAGTTTGATACTTGCAAGAGTTGAAGACACGTGAACGGCCCAGTAGTTCTACTATTTCTTTGCAGCCATAATGTCTTGAAACGCAAAAGTCTTGAAACGCTTATGTTTGGATTTTTCTCTAATCTCATTCTTCGTCTTCTTCTCCTCTTCTTCTTATTAATTTCTCATGAAACTTTTTCACTCCTCAGGGTGGCTTTGGGACGAGGGAAGAGATGTGTCAAGGTTACATTGCGTATTACCCAAAGCTTCCGCTGAGCACGTGCAACTCTGCACCACTCCAGAGCCATCTGGCGGAAGTTTTGCCCGACATAAAAATTGCGTGAGTAACGTTACAAATTTGGCGAACTCATGTCAGGTGGACATTTTCGAGAGAGGATTTGTCAACTCCGTAATAATTTTCTAAGCGCCTTTATATGCAAATTTTGATAATTTAGCACAAGGCACACAGAAGTAAGGATAAATGAGGCCCCATTAGTCCGTTTTTGAGGGTATATGGTTCCATTCTTAAATGAAAACATTAGGGATATTTATTATTATTATTATTATTATTATTATATTGTAAAGAGTTTAATCAATTAGTTAAATTAAACGTACAAATAACCTTAACTAATGATCAGAAGTTCAAAAGAGTAAAATACTCGTTTTTTTCAGATCCCATAAACACGGTTTATTTATTAAAGTTGAAGGTCCAGAGAAGTACGTGAACAAAACGTTTAAGGAGGTGCTTCAAACGGAAGTCGACTGGCAAGACAAACGAGTGCGCATGACATACCAAAATTTAACCGTGAACGGATCACATTTTTTCGCTTGCACGGGGGCAAATTTGAAGAAGGTAGAAGTATGGCTTTACGTAAATTAGGAAATCACTATTCAATCACTATCAAATTCGACAAAAGCGTTTTGCACTGTCTCTTGTACTATGATTACCTATGATGAAAAAAAACCTTTCGTCTCCTCAAAAGAAATAATTTTCATCAGATTTCTATTATACTTAATTACATAACTTGATTGTATTTATTATATAACACAATGCAATGCATATGGAGAGCATTGTTAGAATAAATAGAGGAAATGATAATTGACGATAGAACTAAACAGAATGAAAAATATGAGCAAAATATAAGTGAATGCATGTGCATGCATGTATACGTGGATTTCAGTTTTTTCGCATATAACACTGGCTGTAAGTTTCGGCTAAATTAACAGTTATATTCAGGTCTATTTCGCATAAAAAATTTTGTCTAGGTACTTCCTAAAACCAGATGCACTTTGTTCATTCACTACATCTGACCCTTAAGCGTTATTATATTGGTCTTGGAGCAGGCAACGTTTTGTCATAACTTATTCTCACTTCTCTTCTCTTTTTTTTTTCTAGCTTTACATCGGGCAGACATTATCTTCAGTAAAACCGTATTTTCCGCCGAAATCAACAGATTGTCGCTCCGACACGTATCGAGATCACAGGATTAACCAAGCGGTTAGCTCCGAGTGTGTCAAGAATTACATTGCGGTTTTTGTGGCACTTGCATTGGCGATGAGGTTTCCATAGCTCCGAAAATCATGATGACAAATAATAATTGTTCAGAGTTATGAAAGAGTTATGGGGTTTTTTTGCCTCCAGACCCGCAGCAAGCGGTAGTGGGGGGGTGGAGGGGGGGGGAAGCAAGGAACCGCCCTTTTTGCCAGGAAAAGGTCCACTCTAGGTACAATTTGATCTAGGTAGTTTTATGGTAAAATGTCCACCTTTTCAGATAAATGACCCCAACCTTTGAAATGGTTGGCTTCGGGCCTGTCCGCTAAACACAGAATGGGATTTTAATCTGCAGCAATGTGATTAATATAGCCCTGGCCGCAGTGCGGTCTATCATTGCCTTCTTTGTGAGTGAGCAGTTTGAGACAATTTTCAAACCCATTTTTGTGATTCTTTTAAGGGTATAAGTTACTTTTTCTATAGAGGTAAAAAAATCTCACACTATAACTTTTTAATCATTTTATGTTTGTGGATATATGTAAACAGTATTTACGCATATAAGAATATCTGAGTATGTGGGTATACTGAAATAAAAACCGTGTTCTGTAGTGCATTATTTAAAAAATATGTAGATTATAAGTATATTGCTACTGCAGCAGGACCAAAGAAAGTAGTCAATACCGGTGTAAAATGGGCATTTTTTAAATGTGTTTGAAATAAACAATTGAAAAGCAAACTGATCATGAAGTTTTCTTTTAATCTCGCCCCTGCAAGCAAGGACTATCGGGCGTGAAGAATTCATGGCAAGAGCTCGTGATCTCCACCTTTGTCTCTTTTGGCGGTTCCGCTGTCACTTTGACTTGACTACCAGAGACCTCATCGCGTCCGCTACCTGGAAATACAAAACAGATGTTATTAAAGCACATCATTTTTTCTGGCATTAAAATATTCCAAACAATTATCAAATATAACAGTGCATTTTATTTTAAAAAATGAAAAATAATACACATTTTGTATAGCTGCAGCGGTTGCACCTGGTTTATTTGGAAAGAAACTATTAAATAATTAGAGGGTAAATAACATTACGCACTATTTGCTCTACTTAGTGAATAAAGGTTCTTATAACCAAATATCAATCATTCTTTTGAAAAAACGTATCAAAGACGTGGTGTCATTCCCACTCACCAAAATACAACCGGTTTCTCAGTTCTTTACGTTTTCTCTCCAGTTGGGATTCTGCCGCCAGGTGTCTCACCACGTCAAGAAACAGCAGGCTTAGCAAGTGATACGAACCTGACATAATCACACATATCATCAAATAAATAAATAATATTTACAGGTAAAGCACAACACACGTTTTTGAGATCGAGGAAATGTGCTCTAGTTATGCAATGGTTTGACAAAGGTAATGTTCATATAAGTTTCGCCTAACACCAAAGAAAAAATCTGTTCCACAAGATGTAGTCAAAATGAAAGTTATTTTATCGGCTGATAATACTGCATTTGGATGCGAAATAAAATGAATTTTAGTCACAGCAATGTGGGAAAATTATGGGTTTAATAATGTTCACGTATTTAAAAATACCATACCATACGAAAAGGCTTGGGCCAAGTAGAGTTCTTTATTGATGACGCCAAGGACGAAGTTGCAATGCAGCAAGAAAGTAGACTCGGATTCAACTTGTTTAACAATGTCTGTCTCGCCCACCTTTGAAACAAAAAGGAGATACTATAAATTACAGTTTACCTACTTCTATTGCTGTAGCCATACGTCTTGTAAAATTATGCTAGACGTGCTTTACCTAGATGGAAATGGAGAATATATTATTTTAGAGCAAACTGGAGTGAAAAGTTGGAAGAGAGAGAGAGAGAGAGAAAGATAAGAGAGAGAGAGAGAGAGAGACGACCCACTTTTACAATGACAGCAACGCAAAACACTTCATAAATCCAGTCCAGAAACTGCACCATGGACATTCCAGCTGAGATCAGTTTACCAAAGTCCACCATGTCTTAATAAAACGACAAAAATAAATAAACCATAACACATCGTAAATATCAAATGAGGATATACAGTCGCAGAATTATACAAACTACTAGCAAATTCCTGTGAAGAATCGCACACTATCATGGCTCACACCCTACAAGCTACATATGTAGGCCCACCTTCCTAAAACTCTTTAAATGTAGGAGCAATCAACTCACAAGATATCTGACACATTTCAAACATTTTTCGCAATTGGTGTGGGTCCTTGTTTCAAACAACTCTAAGGTGGATTTATTTTACCTTATCCACCACACAAACGACTACATCTACATAGCTACGCACATTTCTGGATCAGCCTCTCCTCTTCTGTCTGCCCACTCCTTCTCAAGTCTTCACCCTTTAGTACCCAGCGACCATGCCTGGCTATGTGAGGCAGGTCCAACCGCAGCCAGTCGTCCCGTAGCTGGGAGACGTGTGCTGCATTCTGTAGGATAGTACTTGCCGAGGACACGATGTGACAAACCTCCGTCTGGTGTTTGAGCCAGCGACAGAAGAAACCCGCACCTACAGGGAGAGCACATTAGTTTATGTATACTTGGAAACAGAACAGGTATTTGATTGTCAAAGGCATAGTTCATAAAGGGGAAACATACAATGGAGTTCTCAGGGATGAGACTGCCATTTACATGTAGTGAAAAAGTCGAAAAATACAGTATAGTTCAGGGGCTGCCTAGGCCAATGATATTCTTAGCTCACAAAAAGTCGGGAATCCGGAAGGCGGAAAAATCTCATTCCTGATACTGTTCTTTCTCGAAATAATAACTGACATTGGAACGTTTAAAGAACTAATAAAAGGAACCACCTGAAATGCTAGTCTATGTTTCAGGAATTTTTATTCCTAAAATACTGAGACATTAATCAAAGTGTTTATTATAGGTACAGTGGACGTTAACTAACTGTTTTCATACATGCTGAGATATTAATGCAAACCTTCTAAAATCTTATTCCTCAGCAGCAGGGGTTGCCTTCTCAGGGCGTCCTCGAACCACCGCTGCAGATCCACAGCAAATCTTCTCAGTTCTGACTTTAAACTAAATAAAGAAAATTTAGGCCTGAAATTCTAATCATTATCATGTCTAACTGTCACACACAAATTTTCACTTCTTTACTTATTCTAAAAATATTTCAAAATTGATCATTTTTTGCAACAGGGTTTCTACCAAGATATACTTTGATTGGAAACCAGCTATAATCTTTCAAAGATTTTGAATTATCTTTATTTTTCTTTAAAATCTTATTTTTATAGAAATGTATTTCATTGAATTTGTTTGGAGGAAGTGAGTAATAGCAGGTACAGAAGTGAAACCATTGTATATCATTTACACATGCACAATGACACACACAAAAAAAGACAAAAGTGCACAAAGACAATGCGTTAGTTGTGACATTTGGTTGTGATTGTGTCTGGTTGTGACAGTGTATGTTGATGATGTAGACACCTAGCGCTCATCTCCTGGCAAAGAGTGGGGAAAAGGGTAGAAGCTAGCATCCTGTATAAGGTTAAATCGTAGAGCAATATCAAATCCACAGTGAAAGGGCTCAGTAAAAGTGGCTGAAGACGAAGAGGCAAAGAACGCCAAAAAGATTTGAGCAGATTTTCAACCTACAAAGAGAAAGAGCAGAAGAATAAGACTTAAAACATTTGAATCAAAATCGAGTAAAAAGGATTTAAAAACAGGACATATAAATGACACCAAGTGTTTAAAAAATACACTTTGTGAACACGAGTTTGAGGATGTATGAAGGAGTGTCTTTGTGCATTGATTTTCTTAGTTTTTAATCTTAAAAAAAAAAAAAGATAAAATCAAATCATTTTTTGGATAACAAGTACGTTAAAAATTGTACCTAGCATTAAACAGAAAATGAAATAAGAGAGAGAGAGAGAGAGAGAGAGAGAGAGAGAGAGAGATTATCTGTAAATAACCCAGTACCTCAGCAAAGTTTGCTCTAACCACAGAATCCAGCACTCTCTGGCAGTGGTGTCTGTACAGTAGCAGAAACACTGTAGTCTGACATCACAAGAAAAAAGAATAAATTTAAATAATAATAATAACTGTCCGATACCATGATTTTTTAGTTGCACTGCTGTAAGATCAAATTATTTACTGCTTTAAAGAAAAGCCCATACATTCTCAACATAAAATACATGTAGACATATTTTGGATAAATTGCAGTCAAACTTACACAAAGACATGTCTTGGACAACTAATACAGTGAGACAATGGAAACTCATCAAATATAATGAAACTTACTTTTTCTTTCAAATGCAGAGGTACTCTGAGACGTTCCGTGCCAGGAAACTCTGGAAGACCGCTATCTCTCTGACAAGGAGAATTCCTCTCATGCTTCAACCCACCCTTTGCAGCCAAGCCTCCACCCTCAGTGCTCCTCATGCCAACAGGGTGATCAGCTGAGAGAGACAGGCTGTCGCTCTCAGAACCTTCTAGACCAGGGAGGTCCAGGCTTTCAAACAACTCACAGCCTGGAATGTCCCAACTGGAAAATGAAGAGATCAAAGATCCTGGTGTGCCTGTCTGGAAATATATCAAGTGGAAAGATTGATGTAAAAATGTAATTTCAATAGAGCTAGTATTTCGTTCTTCATTTTCAGGTTATACATTTGAAAATAGATTTTGAACCCCTCCAGGGCTTCAAAGATAAAAAGAAACTAATCTAAATTGTTGGCCTGCCTGTGACATTTACAGTTACCTCTGACAACCAGGGAAGTGGGTAAAAACAAAAACAACAAAAAAATTAATAAATTCAAACATATAGTAGAAATAAATTAAATGAACCTTAAAAGAATTTATATTCACAATTTTCCAATCAACTAGAAGACTAAAAATGAAATGTTAATTCAAGGAAAGATACTAGTTGTCACATATCTCAGCTAACAAGGCCTTACAAATCTCTTGACATTGTTTCTATCAAGATAAAAGCAACACTGTACTTCTTTTCATATTATGGAAACTTACAGTGGACATTTTTGAGTTTTGGGAACCTTCTTCTGTAAGAAAACTATAAGAAAGAAGTATTTTACTAGAGGAAAACAATGATCACATTATAATAATAAACACATGTATGTTGTACCAAAAGATTTTTTTTTCTTCTTTTTAAGGTATATATACTAAAAGTTAAATCAATAGTAATAAATACCAGGTCATAAAATTTTTACATATGTTCATATTTTCATCCAAATCCAAGCATTTTCAAAGGGAAAGTAATAAAAAAATCTTTAGCATTCTCACCCTTCTGACATATGCGACAGCAGAGGAGTTTGGGATACAGATTTCTTCTTTATCTTGATTCCATAATAATGATATCTGTTTAACAAATAAAATATGTAGTCAAATAATCCAGAAGATGCTGTGGATGTGAGTCAATAACCAAGTGTACCTATAAAAAACTGATACCAAGGTCCACTAATATCATGTTTCTCAAATAATTTTATAAAAAAAATTAATGCAAAAGTTCAATAATCTCACTTGTATGTAATGATTTTTTTCTTTTTCAAAATTACAAACAAAGCTTAGAGTCCAAAATTAAAACTCCAACAAATTAAGTTAACAAACAACCAACATCTGATCTAAAAGATTTACTCAAAGAGCAATGAAATCACAAGGAACTTGTATACCTATAGTAAGCATCTTGACACATGTATGAATAACCAGCCTTAGAAGTGTGACAAATAAAATCAATCTCACGAATAAAGAAAAAAATGGAGCTTAGCTCTTATTGTCCTACTTTGACTGCCCTCTTGTGCCAAGTCTCCTAGTTCTCACCCCGGGAAACACCATACGTAACATCTTCCCCAGACTAGCAGCATTAATGGGATCTACACAGCAGGTGGCACAAAAATCAAGATACTCCGCGTAAACTTCACATCGCTGCACACTGACATTTAGACCTTCTTCAAAGTTTTGTTCTAACCTATAATTTTACAAAATGTATCAATTGAAATTTGCCAGCTTTAAATAAAAAGAGGAAGGAAAAGGAAAAATTAAGATGCCTAAATGATTCAGTTTCATCTTTGTTTATCAAAGCATTACATTTAATTTTGAACACTGAATGCAAAGTATTGAATAAAATGAGTATTACAGCAATAATTAAGACATTCTTCTGAATAATATTTTTAAAGAAAAAATTGTATTCTACCCTGTAAAGTCTGTTGATCATATAAGAATTTTATACTCAAAATAAATAGTTTTAATTTATATTATTACAATAATCATTATACCCAATATGTACCATTTTACAATGTCTGGGGCCTGTGCAGCAGCAGACTGGTACAAAGACATGGAGTAAGTTCTTTGAAATCTCTGCACTGATGATGACGTGGCATCAAAATCATGTGTCATGTCAGTCATAACTTTTCTTGCATGCTGGAGGTGAACATTTTCTAAGTCTGTAGAAGAATTTAGCATGGTGTATTTTATTTTTGTGTGCTGAATAAGATGCACTGCTAATAATATAGAAACATTTATTTACTAATACTAGTCCTAGAGCTTAGTTAGGAAGGGGAATTCCCCATTCTTGCCTGTACATCGAGTTTCCCCGTCTCTGGAAAACTTTATTTCTTGCGTCATGAGTTTGGTTCTGATGGTTCTATCCCGCCGTTTTTCTTCTCTTCACTTATTTATTTATAACCCAATCCCGTTCTTTTATTTATGTACTGTATTTATTTAAATCAATTTTACTTACCACAGTCCGCTGTGCAGGACAGGGTATTCAAGTTTACATCATTAGACTTGTATTTTAGCAGTCTTCGACAACTTTCTTTGGTTATAGGAAGCCTTTGCGGTCTCTTAACCTTATATATTAGCGTCTCTGTCATTTTACCTAAAAATCCACCAGTACAAAGGAGGAGCAGGAAACAGACAAATTAAAAAAATCACTTTGCACTTTTTAAATCGAAAGTAGCCAAAATCGCGACTGCGTCTTCGATATGGGACTCCTCTTGCAAAAGATTTTCAAGAAGACCTTGGCCAAGGTTTTGCGAATTCAAAGAGAAAAGTAGTATATTAGAAGCATAAGTCAACTGGCATCTTTGTTTTTCTCTTTTAAAAAGCTAGGCCCTATTGGAGGCTTGATTAACTAAAAAATGTACCTCCTTCATCCCATAATAATGATATCTGTTTAACTAATAAAATATGTAGTCAAATAATCAAGGTGCTGTGGATGTGAGTCAATAACCAAGTATACCTATAAAAAACTGATACCAAGGTCCGTTAATATCATGTTTCTCAAATAATTTCATTAAAAAAATTATTTTCTGTATACCGCACTGTTCACTCATTTGACAATGCCGTAAATTTAACTTCTTGTTTTATGTTTGATTTTTTCCACTCTCTATTAAATCCAAACTTTTCTATTTTAGCTAGGGCTAACAATTTTTTTTTTTTTTTCAAAAAGTTAAAAATGATGTCATTTCCCGGTCTATTCAATATCCTTCAGCAAATATATTGGAAAAGTTTCTTTAAAGCTTCTGTTAAGATCTTTATTTATGGAGGAAACAGAAAAGGAGAAAATGCACTGCCTAGATGTGTTTTAGAGCTGTAATGATATCCTTTTCTGCATTTTTTACATCGTAGTTCCCACCAACCCAGACAGCATACACTCTTGATCAAATGTATGTCCTCAATACAACTAAAAACAAGACAATTCTGTAAAAAAATTTATTGTAAGGAGTTTAACATATCTTTATATAAAACCAAATAATTATTTTATTCTTTAGTCATGACCAGTAATTTACCAGACTGACAGAAATTCACCATCTTTTTTTAAATTTTTACATACCGAAGCAATTATGTTGCAAACTGTATGGTACTACTATGCCTCGAGTACTTGCATTTCTAAATATTTTGAAGCTCTATATACACTGTACAAACTTCCAGAAAGTTCGCTTTAAGTTCCACCAATTTAAAAATGGTCATGACAATATCAAAGTATTTAGAAATTGTACTTGTGTTTACCATGGATATCTTTACTCACATCCACAGTGTTACAATTTATTTTGATTGTATACAGAGGAGGGATAAACAATGAAGGGGGGCAGGGGTGGCTCGCTTTTCCATGTCAATATGGCAGATGTCGCATCCTTATTCTACAGAAAAGAAATAAAATGCACCTGGTTAAAGATGACAGAAGCTTCGGAATTCCTGATGAGAAAGAAAGAGTATCAATTCTTTTCCACCCCCCTCCCATCCTCCTTGAAATCAGAGCTCTGCCTGCAGCATTTAATAGTATTTGCTTAATAAAAAGCAATGCTTGGATGTTTTGTATCACAAGCTTATTGCCAAGCTTATTGTATAACTTTTTCCAACATAACATATTTATCACTTTCATCAGAGAGCAATCAAACAGTTTTTAAATTATGAAACTGCTAGGGCAATCTGAATTTTTTTTCCACAAGGAGGTTAGTCACAAGTGCAGTCCAAGTTAATGGTAATTCAATCTCCATTGTGGTCTGTACTTGTTGTATCTTCCATATATTATGTTTCACTGTCTCTCACAAAGGCGTCCATTGTATGTGATCACCTCCTCATAATGACATATTTCTACCCTCTATGCTAATCCCCACAGCTCTCTGACTTTTGTTTTGTTTCTTTCTTTCCTGGAAATTCCTCATGTGTTTTTCCAGTCTTGACATGTCCTTCTTCCCAGAGCTCTGCAGAGTAAAAGTGATTTCATTATTGTCAATAACATGTCTCATTTACAAAGTGAATATTTTCATTTATCCAAATATTAAATTTATTTTTCAAATTCAGATACTGCAATCAAATCACTTTCACAACAAATAAATATTCTGATCCAAAGTGCTACTACATATTCTAGAGTTATATTATTCAATCACAATATTGTATTTTAAATTAAAAAATTAACGTCATGTATGTTAACATTAAGAAAGTGCCCATTTACTTGTTTCCTGTTTGTGTTATTATTCTGTAAGTTTGTTTTCAACATTTTTCTGAATTTTTTATCAGAAAAAAATTATGTCAGCTCTCTCTCTCTCACCTTGCGAGGGGCATCGCTGTCCAAGTTGGAATGCGGCCTCACCACATAATCTTTATTAGATGGCATGGGGACCCTAGCCCTTTGAACCCATCCCTTATCTCCAGGTCTAAGAGCTCTGAAATATAAACAGCAAACATGAAAAGAAACAGAGAACCATTTATGAATCATCTACAAAGAGAATGCCCTCAGTTTTCTTGAGAATATATTTCAACAAAAAGACAGGAAATCTTCATCATAAGTTTCTCCCTCTTTTCACATTTCATTTGAATAAAAAAAAGGCAACTTTCTTAATTTTTTTTTTTGTCCAATGAAATCTTGAAACAAACAGCTAATAGTGCATACACAAAACACAGTGTTTATAGGAACTTATGAATCATTCATCATCAGGTTTAAATGTGGCTGTATATGAAGAGATTCCTACTTACTTCTGGTCCCCTGCCAGAGCCTTGTCAATATCCCGCCTGGGAGTTTTACCACCCTCAGAGCTGAAATGGAAAATGTCTAAAATTAAAACTCAGTTTGAAATAAGATTTCTCTTCTGGACAAGCAAAACAATTAATTTTGGATAATTATTATAAAAGATTCGATTTTGAAGACATGTTAAAGTAAAGGCTGCATAGTAAAGAGTATCTCTACTTTTTTTTTTCTTTTTTTTTTCTTCTCATTTTTATTCCAGCTTATTTAAACATAAAGATTTTTCTAAAGAAGAAATGTAGATGGCTTAGAAATTTGAATGATGTGATTGCTCTTTTTTTTATTTCTATCCCAAACTTAGAAAATACATTTAGATATTGTGGAATTAGGAAAAACATTAAATTCAGAACACTGAAAAATCTTTATTTTATAATTCTATATGTGTAATAAATAACTAAGCTTATTAATAAACTGGAACTTGAACAAAAACTTAAATGATTATCCTTTATAAATCATGTTAGTATAAAAGACTTGATTCAACTTCAAGAAGTCTCCCAGCAACATTTAATTGCGAATAACATATTCCACCTAGAGTTTCAAAGATAACAAAAAACCAATTCCTGTTACAGACATGCCTCTGCCATGTCCAGTGACTTTGACTAGATATACAACAGGCAGAGTGATAACAGTCACTGTCCCGTGTGGTTAGTTTTAAATAATCTATGAAACTTAGGGTACATCTCTCTGACAATATAGAGAAGTGAGTTCACCGTATTATGTGCCCGTTCCTAAACTTAGTGCTGAAATATCATGCATTGATAAAATTACTTTGTAACAAGCTATGAGCCATTCTTTTATCAAGTAATGTGTTCTGTGGTGTATTTATGCAGTATTTTAAAAATATCCACTTTATTGTTGCAACGATATAATATTTATAATGGCTTTTCTGATAGAAAAGATAATATTTATCATTATTAATATGAGATTTCCCACCTTATTCTTCTCTTTTTGGGCAACTGTTCATAATCTCTCTGCTCACGTTCCTCTTTGGAAAGATTCTTGTAGTTGGAGGTCAGGTTGAAAATGGGCCTTGACCACTCATCTGAAAAGGACAACAACTGGTAACTGATGTATTTATAAACGGAGAGAAGTGAGAGCTACAGAAATTGATTATTCAAAACTTGCATGCACGCTGTTTTAACTGGATGTCACTCTCGTAATGGAGATGGAGAGTGGTGAACTATGTATTGCTGTATTTAAAAAAAAAAGATTTTTTTTCTCTATACATACATGGGTGAAAGCTGTAAAAACTGAACATCCTGAAAACAAGCTTGCAGTTTCTCATTGCTCTTAGACCATACGAGGAAAAACATCATATTGAAGACTGAAACTCCCTAAGTCAAGCACAATCCTGAAAACTTTCTACAATGTATATAGTAGTTCTCAACATTTTGGAAATGGTTTAACTTGCTGATTAATGGAGAAAATTTGTTGAAATTTCATAAGCCCATAACTTACTGATAAGTTTCCCAGCTCTCTCATGATTTTCCCGTATTTCCCTGGGGTGCTTATATAAATACATAACAGCCTTGCCCAGACCACTGCTCTTCAGTGCCTCCGAACTGATGGGGGGAAACTAGTGGGGAGGAAAGAGGAAAGATGATAATTCATGAGGCAGATCTGAAAATAATCTAAAATGACATTGTAGTTGCCCACCTTGACAAAAGAGATAGGTAGATAAATTGATTAATTCCATGATTGTAAAATTCTTTTTTTGGGCAACTGTTTATAATCTCTGCATTTCTTTACCTCTTTGAAAAGCGTATTTTAGCAAGAGTTAGATGTCTACATATAAATACTAAAGACATTAATTTCTATCCAAATCAAAGCATACCCCTTGCAGTATTCTTAACAATCCTTCCCTGATCTGTAAATGCGGGAGACTTTTGTCAGGCAAGGGGGCAAGCCACTCCTGAAATATAGAGTACCCAAATAAAGAAATGAACGAATAACACAGTGCAGAAATAAGTAAGGCAGTTAATAAAAATGTAAGAAATAGCTTAGCAGCCACTCTAGCAGTTTCTCATAAACTGCTCCACACAGTGGCACAATTATACACCCTTAGCTTTTACTATTGCAATTAAACAGTCTTGTTATCCTTCAGATGGACCATGATCGATCTAGAAGGAATTGACCCATCTCTGAGGGGATTCTCATTAAACTGTATACAGCTTTCGCAGCTTAGATGCCTGGCACACCTACTTAAGAAGCTAAACAACAGTTAATTACCCCCTAACAGCTTCAGTAGGCGTACCAGACATAAGAGCCGCTTAAACTGAATGCAGTTTTACCAAGAAACCCCCTCAGAGAGGGATTGATCCCACTAGATCGATCTAGGTATGGGAACAGGGTCTTAGTGGTCTTAAATGAGTTCTATTTACCGTCAATGCTGGCAGAATACCACAGTCCAGGAAGGCTCCTTGTAAGTCAGACCTAAATAGTAGTAGACACACAAACACAATCAAATAACAGAACAGAGCATGGATAAAAGTGCCCTTAAAACACATTTTTTCACATTCTAATTAAATCAGTGTGTATATCTCTAATGTCATTTAACAAATTCATCTTAAATGTGTTTTTAGATAAAACAATTCTTGCAAAAGTTTTATAAATAAATAATGAAGCTTTAAATAAAAGGCTGAATGTTCGGTTTTAATGTAACTTGATATGAGATTAACAATTAATCAGTACTGATAAGAATAATTCAAGCAAGGTTATTATATAGCCAACACTGTGAACAATTTTAGATGTACAACTTTAATTATAATGGGACTTACTTCCTCAACTGTTGTAACACTTCTGGCAGCATTCTTAACTTTTTAATGGCTGGCTTGGACTGGTTGTTTAATGCTCGGTCTTCCTACAATAAGAAAAGCATCAATTGTTAACTGTCATAAATGAATACTTCTATAAAATCTCAATTTAGTCATTTCAGCCTGAAAAGTCTGTTTCTTTCTTGCTTTTTCTATGTATACTTTAAACAAAGCAACACGGCAAAAAAAATAATACATAAAATAATAATCATAATTATGATTAATAATGATTATCCTTAATTTTGCTGCTACCAACCCAGATGTGTTATCTGTTACATACTAAGTAAGGAGAAGTCTTTAAATCTAATAACTTCAATTATATCAGTTTCATTTATATCAAACAATTTTCCCAGCAATTTATTCCATTTTTTTTATTCCAAAATTGAACTTACCTCAGCAGCAGTTTTCATCTGGTTGATAAGTGCAGCGATCAAGTCATCATTGTCATTAATGATATCAAAGTCTTTCCTCTTTCTTCGCCTCTTTCTCATTTCTTCTTTCTTTCTCTCCAACATTAAGTCAAAGTCTGACACAAAGTTACTGTAAAAAGTGGAAAACCACATTAATCTTAATGTCACTGAATGCATCTTACAAGAATTTATTTGGAATTAAGCCTCTTAATAACAATTATTATGCCAGGCTATGCCATCGGGTTGAGTTGTTTTTGGTCAAAAGATACTTTATTATAGGGTCAATACATACTTTTACTAAATTCAAGTTGAAGTCTTCTAAGACAAAAATTCTGGTCTTAAATTCAAGATTAACCTCTTTCTCAATCTCTCAAGATCTTTTTTCATGTGTGTGTGTGTGTGTGTGTGTGTGTGTGTGTGTGTGCGCGCGCGCGCGCGTGTGCATGAGTAACCGGTCCCTAGAACCAGCAGGACACAGACTGGGCCAGTCTTACCCCTTGTCTCCATCTTCTACCCCTTCATCATCATCTGACAGCTGAGGTAGGGCAGCCGACGCGTCCCCCTCCCCCTCGGCTGGGGCCTCATTCTCCCCCTCATCATCAGATATAACTGGAACAAGAAAATATAGATATATTTTAAGTGTTGAATTCTCAGTTCACTTTGTTCAAATAAATATTAATATCCAAAATTATATTTCAAACATATTATCCTAGAATTCTGTCCCATAACTGGATCCTCTTTGCACAAATCATTTCACATAAGTTAATGTGTAAAACTTCATTTCTGCTCATCAGCAAATGGCTTGTTCAATAACTACATTATATTCAAGATAAAATGTTGATGTTTTCAGAGCTAAATGGTTGTGTAACAAAATTACCTGCTACTTTCTTTTTCTTTGGAGTTTCCATGTCTGCATCTTGAAAGCCCTGAAGGAAGAAGTAAATACACAGTTTAATGAAAAACACCCATACATGATAAATATTGGCAGTTTACAACTACATAAAAGATAAAAGCATATGGCACACAAGAGCTATTTTACATACTGTTTTCTGAAAGCAGGAGGCAAAACTGTATCATATATACATATATATCAAATCATACCTCAAATTCTTCTTCTTCATCACTAGAGCCAAAGATGTCTGCTATAAGTTCACCAACGTTGGACCTGGAAAAAAGAACAAAATGGATCTACATCAAATACTCATTTCTGAATCAATGAAAAATCATAACAACAAGAACAATAGCACTTTATATGATAATAGACGATAAAAAAAAAAATAAGAATTATTAGAACTTTAATTTAACATAAAATGTTCTTACTCTTTATCACTATCCTCTTCATCGCTGCCCTTTTCAGAACCCTCTTTGTCCAGTGAAACATTGTGACGCTCCTCTTTTGTGTCTAAAGATAAAAGTAAAATATTCACAAGTTTTCTGACAGTGGTTTCTACTTCAAATCTATGAAAGCTTACAAATGTTATTTTAATTTCATCTACAACATTTATCTTTGAAGTGCAAAGAAAAAAGTGACAAAAATACTATTCATACTGCTCCTTAAGCACCTAACGTCTTCTTTGTTATCAACTCACCCAGCTATTTAATAAACACTGAGGTTATAACTTTACAATGCAATTTAAGATAAAGTGAACCATTTGAATAATCTTTAGTAATATTTTCACCTTTCTCGTCCTCACTTCCAGCTTCAGATTTCTTCCCTTCGTCACCACTTCTAAACAAATTAAATGAAAACCCAAATATTAAACACAAAATATATTACATACCAATTTTCTCAACTTACTGGTGTATAAACTTTACAGTAATTATAGTCATTTTTAATAAGAGATGCCAGTCACGAGTGCTAGTAAGTAATGATGCATCTTAAGTCAGTAAAATGTCCAACAGCTTTACTGGGGTATAACTAATAACACAAACTGAAATTCCACAGGTACAATTTCCAGAGAGAGATAAAAAAGTTACAACATCATAACCTTCAAATTGAGCTTACCCTGCCTTTGCTTCCTCATCTTCACCCCTCCTCCTCTCAGCCTCACTGCCATCCCTGCTCTCTTCATCTTTGTTGCTAGGAGAACGAGGCCCCTCAGCATCACTGCTGGGTGAAGCTGGGCCCTCTTCAGGTTTCTCCACAGGAGATGCAGGCCCTTCTGCAGCATCTCCTTGGAAACCAGGTGGCGACTGGGGACCTTGGTTACTGCTGCTAGGAGATGTGGGTCCATCTTTGTTAACTGAATCTTGGCTGACTTCATCCTGAAAACTTGGAGATTGTGGACCCTGGTTACTGTTGCTAGGTGAGATGGGCCCCCGACTACCATCATCGGGGGACTGTGGCCCCTGGTCACTGTTGCTAGGTGACTGAGGGCCTTGGTTACTGTTGCTAGGAGACTGAGGCCCTTGGTAACTGTCAACAGAAGACCAATTTCCTTGGGCACTTGGTGATTGTGGTCCCTCACTCACCACCGCAGAATGCGTAGAAAATGGCGGCTGATTTGGAACATATTCTGACCTGTTTTCTTCCACCATTGTCTCGCTCCAGGCAACACTATCAAGTTGACTATCTTGAGCACTGTCATACTCAGAGTTTTTCTGGTTATCACCAGTTGTTTCTCCACTTTCAAAGTCACTCATCCTGCTACTCTGTTGTGAATCCTGGTTCTGCACCTCCATATTGTCCATTCTATCCCCTCCATCCTCTGATGGACTGTGTGCTGACCCCTGGCTAGGACTGGCTGGACCTTGGCTTTCCTCCCCACCTGGACTCTGGTGGTCACTACCAGCTGGACTGGCTGGACCTTGGTCATCATCACTTTGGTCACTCATGGGACTTGGGGACCTGACCTCTTCCCCTTCCTGACTTCCCTCAGGACTCGGAGATCTTATGTCAGCACCTTCCTGCTCCTCCGCCATTGGAGAATCAATTTCTCCATCACCGTCTTCCTCTTCTTCTGGTTGTGGATATTGGTTTGATTCATCCATGTTTGCATTGTCGTTGTCAGAATCTTGGATTTCTCCGTCATCATCAGAACCCTGATCTTCCATCGACTCTTCATCTGTTAACAAAGAAATATAGAACAGAAATTTAAGTCCATTTATTTCATTAATGTTCTGAAAACATAAAAACTGACAGATTCTTTTTTATTTCTTTTTTTTGCCACTAACCAGATTCAGGTGAGCCTACCTTCAGCTAATTGGAAAGCACAAACTGCACTCTGTGGATTCACCAAGGTAAAAATGCACTAAATAAAATTTAAAAAAACCAGGACACTTGTTACTTGCATGATTACTCTTCAACTTGAACATCAGTCTTACCCCTCTGCTGTACATCCCCATCATCAGCTTCCTCTCCAGACAGCTGGCCCTCACTGTCCTCCTCCTGATCTTCACCAGTGTAGGATTCACGGCGGTGAGCAGGCAACTCGTTCTCTTCCTCGTCTGCTATCTCTCCTTCCTCCTCCTCCTCCTCATCTTCAAAATGTGATCTTCCTATGGAAAATGGTTGTGTTCCACCTGGCTGTAGGTTGGAAGAATATTTAGAATGTATTGATCATGTTTGAAAAAAATGATTACTCCTACAAAATTTATTTCTTTTAACTGCCCACTGTTTTAATAGTTTTCAGTTTATTTATCAAGTTTAATTTATATAAAATATACATCATAACTGACCTACGCCAGAGCTCTTACAGGTGAAATATAAAATCAATCAAGTTAAAGTTCAAATGACAAATTAGCATACAAGGAAGACATATCTGAATTCAAAATTAAAATTAAAACAAGAAACAACAGAAGGGAAAAAGCTTTTTAAAAACCTCTTTACTGTTTTTAAGGTTAAAAGTCTCCTGTTGTTTGATAAGAACTTGGACTAAAAGCAGTGATAGATTAATAAAATTATTGAGAGGCTGATATTGCAGATTTCTAAAGGGATATTATGACAGCAATCTGCAGTCTATAATATAATAGCGTCCAACTTACTGGCTGTGCTTCCTCTAACTGGTACCCATATTCCGGCTCATCTTGAAGTGGTGTTCCTCCGCCATCTATAAAATATAATTTAGGCTGAACATTTAGGCTGAACAAAAGATATTAAACATCACTATGGCAGCAGCGTGCACCTTCACACCAAGACTCAAGTTCACTTTGGTTTATCAGTATTATTCAACACTTCCACAGCAATTTATTTGAAGATACCAAACGAATCCAAACTCTGCTTTGTGCCTTTCATTTATTGGAATTGGAATATTTTAACCTTCAGCTTTCTAATGTTTTTTTTATTAATTTATTAAAATTATATCCTGTTGTCACTGAATCAGAAAAACATGTACAATATAAATTAATAAAATTCATAACAATATAAAAAATATTTACATATAATCAAAAGCAATGTATCTATAGAGAACCATTTTCTTTCAACTCCAGTAAAAAAATTATTTAAAAAATATATATATAAATTTGCATTGTAAGCGTTTGGTGAAGTCATGGCGTTATAATTTAGGATGTAGCGTGTTGTCTAGAAAGAAAACAAGACCACCAATAATAGCTAAAAATATTGGCAAAAACCTATTTACTTTTACTTTGTGTTTTATCATGGCGTTTGATCTCTTAATACAACTAAATAATACAACGCTATCGTGACCAAAAACGCACGAATAGCATGTGCAGTCTAACAGTAAAACTGTCACTTTGTTTGAGAATCTTGCCGCTTTCTTTTTTCAACATCCAAGAGGATGTATTATTCCCTTCGTATACAATACACCCTGTATAATCTATTCAATACGAATTCCATTTGTAACGAAGTGTATCTCCTTTTCTAGTTCTACCTATATTATTCATAAATGAATGATTAAAAGCTAAAACATCACCTTCTTCGCCGCTCGACATTATTTTGTCTCGCAATGCTCGTTTTCAAGATGGCAGCGCCCTAGTTCACGTCTCCGTTTACAGGAGACTTCTAGACACAAGACACGCTTACCGATGTATTTCTTCGTCACGTTTGCAGACGCAGACAGACATTTAGGACGGCTGATTGGATTTATACAGTTTATGAAATATGTTATTCAAATATATATAGTCTTAAAAAAGTCATAAGAGACACATATAATCAGTGTGCACGAAAGTGTGATTATGAAATAAAATATTCATCAGATTATAGATCGCCTACATTTAGGCTGAACTGAAGGTACGCAGTCGGCGACACAGTCCTTCTCGAAGAAAAGGACTCAAATAATAGTTTAAACTAAAAATGAGAAAGAAAAAAATTGAAACGTTTCATAACATTGTAAGCGAGCAAATAAGCAACGCATGTATAACCCTGCATTTTATAACCCGTTTAATTTGGAGCCTCTTCAAAATATGATATGTCACATCATAGAAGTTCTCTACTTCTATGGTCAAATTAATTAGTAAAACTTGCATCCCGCTTCCAGTCCACATATAATTTACGTGAGCGTTGTTCTCTTATTTTGACGCGAGTGAAAGTTTTTCATATCAGGCTTGTAAACGCACCATAACAATCAGCAACGGTATTGATGTGGTATTTTGTAAAGCCTAAGCCTGTAAGGTGCCCTTTACGTTTTCTTTGTATTGGTATGTAAACACAATTATAAAGAATCGAATCGCAGAGCATGTGCAGGTATATTTAGGCCAGGTAGCGTAGCAAATATGTACAGTCGCGCTGTGTATGTTTGGAAAAGACCCTTATGGAGTGTCAGTAAATGAGAATCCATGCATGTTGGAAATGAATGCCGTGAAGCTGACTGTCGCCATTTTTGCTTGCTGGGTCTCCCTGTTTGATTATGTCGGCTCTGAAGCCACACCTGTGCGTTTCGAGGAAGATGACAGGGAGCACATAGTAGGCCTACCTGTGAACGGGCACGTTATCACAGAGACCCAGGTAAGCGGAGTGCGGGTCACGCCCGTCTGTGCAGTCAGATTTTGGACATTTTAAAAAACTTAAAGCCTTCTACCAACCTATCGATCCCTAAATGTCCTACGTGATAGGACAGCAGTCACGTTGTTCACTTCATATATTTCGTAAGTAAACGCTAAATTCTATCAGCCCTCACTTAGATTAGACCAGGGAATTATATCCAAGATGATATACTTCCATTATTAGACCGACTACTACAATGGGCCTACAGCCCCAATACCTGTTAAACATATATAGTTTAGTTCAACAAAGTAAGCAGCTTTATTTCATACATAGCGTGCTCTTAGGAGCTGACAAGGCTGTGGTGTTTACTCTCCCCCCCCCCCCCTCTCTCTCTCTCTCTCTCTCTCTCTCTCTCACACACACACACACACACACACACTTTCTCATCCAAGTCAGTCATTAAAACAGGGAGCAAGGAGATGGTTAAAAAAAAATAAGTCTTTAATGCTCCCCACCCACCCGGTTCAGAGGCTTATGTGTTTCTGAGTGTTATAGCACCCGACTTAAAATCCGCCTCCTTTGTACCTCTGCCCAGCACCTCTTTCACCAACTGAAGGGATATGCAAGGGTCTCTGCAGGTACAGGTGCAAGGCTAACACATGCGCACATGTTGATATAACGGATACAAGAAGGTCCGATTAGGGTAGAGTTGGGATGGGTGCCATCAAGAAAGCATATTGAGTGGGACACGCACAGGCGCATTTCCCCAGTTGGAGCACGCCAAATTACAGTACCGTGGTGAAGATCGCAGCATATTCAATGTACACCACAATAATTATTAGAAATGATTTATCTAGTCTCTATAAATGTACCTGCTATATTTTCCCTTTCCATCTCAAAGAATATATCATTTTATATTTCAGTGTGCCACAGACCGTTGCATGGTTTTCCCGGTCGATCCTACAATCCATCAGAAGGTGCTGGATCTCGTGCGACAGGAGACCAAACTCATCAATTTCTTCTTCAAGTTTGTCGGCTATTCGTCGCAAGATAATCCTTTGCTGCTGAACATGTCAGAGTTTTACCGCGGAAACACGTGGTCGCGCGCGCACTCCCGCCATGGCCGAACACTCCTGACGCTTGCATTTAACTACGACATACTATCATTGACTATGTTGAGCATTGGGCGAGTGGATATGACTGTCAATTTAGACGATTCACCACGTGGTTGTCTCGCGGGATTTAGTGAGATGTGCAAGGTGCAGAAAATTCGACAACTTTTGTTTTATGACCTCATTGTTAATGGGACTTCTTCCTCGGTAACCAAAGATGATTATATTTGTAATCCGGTTATTAAACGAGTAAAGGATCACGGTCATTTTGTGTATAAATGCTGCACGTGGTTTAACGGGGAAATGCTTTGCACGGATCAACTAAAAGACGGCTGGGTGACGGTGTTGGACTACATGATAATCACATGCATGTACCTGGTCATTTTGTTTGCGCCACTTGCAGCCCCTCGATGGGTTTACACCTTTGCCAAGGACCAAATGACATACGTTTTAAAGTTAGGAGACAATGGCGGACCAAAGAAGTTACAGTTCACTGTTCACGTGTCAACGAAAGATCCGGACAAAACTTACTTGACCGCGCGCCACGTGCTCGAAATCCGTGACTTAAGAGCTTTTCCAAAACTCACTAGGAAGATTCGAGAATGGGAAAGAGATAAAAAGCTTGACCAAGACATCCGTGTTGAAACATCAGAGCTTCATCTTGCCGTTGACTTGGACAAGACTTTAACAATGCACAACGTGCCTATAGGATTCCCGCACTTTATCAGCCGCATGTTTTGTCAATGCAAATTAGCAAAAGAACCCGGATGTTCCAGTTTTTGCCGCTCCAGTGTGTGGGGTTGTCTACCGAATACGGACGAAATATATTGTACTTGGCTTCATGTTGGGAAATGTTTGGGTATAATGATTCTCGTAGCATGCGCGTTGCCACTGCCATTTATTATACGACTTGGACTTTACTTTTTATACGAACAGGACGAGGTATTGCTGCGAAAGGCCGCGCTGCATTCGTTGCACCTACATGAAAATTACGAAGAAAATTTGCTTCAATATCTCACGCCCTTCCACCCAGCGCTTGTCTGTGCGTACCTGTTTTACTTTTTATGTTGCACCGTATATTGTCTTGCCTACAATAATGTTAGAGGGACGGGAATGGTGAGACGAATTGTGAAGACGTCATTCGAAGACTTAATGGGAATAAAGTACGGACAAGTGTTACAGAGACTGGTTGCCGTAGTGTTATTGCCGTTAGAGAGGTTCGGCGTTTGTGGCTTCCTCTTTGGTCTCCTATACTGGCCTGTTGTCGTTCCTGTGTGTCTCATCATGGTTCCGTTTTATTGCCTCCCAACACTGTACCTCTCCATAAGGATGCTGTTTAATTCACAGATGTCGCTGCAACGCTTCAGATCAAAACCGGACCAAGACAAGGGGCAAAGGTTCGAGAGGCCGTCAGGAAGTCAGTTAAAAAGGAATCTGGTTCATGGAATGAAACGCGTTCATAATCTCCTTGGCAACATGAACATAACTCACAACGATTCTGAGCATCATCACAAGTATCGCCCCCACGTGCGTGATATGTCCTGTTACGGGAGAACGCGGAAGATTGTTCTTCACCTTGCAGCTGCCTTCGTATGCATATGCTTTCTTTATTCAGTTCTCATTATGTTAGCAGAGAGTGCCTATTTAGGTACGGAGGTATTTGCCCTGACTTTGATGGGGGCTATCATAAACGCTGGCACCACATTGAAATTCCTGTCCCTGGTGGCCCTGATTGTTCTTTACGCCTACGACGCATTAAATGACGTATACAAAACGTACCTAGAGCTAAACCAAAGCATCGTGACGACAGTGTATAATTTGGCAAATGAGGTTGCCTATGGCGGTATTGAGCAAGGTAGTTGGGAGACTAATAAACCAAGAACGGCATTTCAGCTGAACCTTGCTGAGCACAAGGTCGGCAAGAGGGAAAGTTACCAACCCGATGGACTCTCCACCAAGGGATCGAGGAGAAACCATTACCATGTGAACAATCTCTGTCTGTTGATGGATTCCAACGACACTGCTCGTATACCGATAGACCTGTTTTACCGGATGTGCGAAATCGACATCTCCCACTCCCCTGGACCGATAGAGAGGAGGGTGTGGGGTGCGTTGGGGTACCTCTTTTTGATCACCTTGTTCATTGGGTTTGTGTTCATAGTCGTGGGGACGTTTGGGAACCTGTATAACATTTCAACTACCAACCAAACTCTGGCATCGCTGGCTGGGGGTGCACTGCCGTTCTTCCTGAGGAGCTTCTGCAAGCCGCCAAAGTTGGATGGAAGCTACAAAACTGCGATCAGCTTTAGGCGGCGATTTGACGAAACCATAGCCACCTACTCACAGTCGTGGCCCATTGCAGATTTAGATGTGACCGAAGTGAAGGAACCCGAAGACGGTTCATGCAGCGAATGGGCGCCTATTTGTTACGTCGACAGCGCGGTCGCTGTACAAGAAACGGGCGCTCCTGTACCAATGAAGGAGCTGGTTGTCGAACAAAAACCAAGCAACTTGTTTGATAGGCTCACCGACGCTATACGGTCAGGTTTAGGGAGTAGAGGAAGCTTAGACAGTATCTCAAGCTCTGATGATGACGGCAAGTCGAATTCATTGCTTGCATTCAGTGGCGTGAGCTCCGTTGCTGACATCACTTCCGGTGAGAACGGTGTTATCTTTGACTTCGCAGACGGGTCCGTAACCATGGTAGATTCACGGCCTGATATACTGATAAAAATTGATAAGCGAACTTTGGCCAAACTGAATGGAAATCACCCGGATGTTAAACGGAAGTTACGCCATCACTATGATGAAATAGACCTAGGCAATTCAGACGACGTACGCACATTTAATAAAATATCAGACAACAATGACTGCGTTTCCAATGAATCGGAAGGCACCGATTTGTAAATGGTTGAATTGTATATAATATTAATAGTAGTGGTAGTATAGGCCTAGGTTGATTTTATAACAATCCTTTCTTACCGTTTTAAAATGTTCACAAGTGATATGTGGGAAAGAACCCATCGCGCCAACCAATTGTTTTTTTTTTCCTTAATCACACAGTAGTAGAAAACATTTAAACTCTAAATAAATGGAGAGACTCCACCTGAGTGCTGCATAATTTAGCTTGTGCCTTGAACTGAATATAGAAATGGAAGAAAAGCCAAAAATTAAGAGAGATAATATACAAACTAATTTACCTGACAGAAAGAAATAATGAGATTAAATTCATAATATACTGTTTCAACCATCAACGAGTGTAATAATTGTCTATATGTAATATTTTTATTTATGTGAAATCATTTTATTGAAAATAAACTTTGAAGGGTGTCATTTTTCCACCAAATATTAATCATTTTCCAAATTTGTGTCCCACTTCTCTAAACGTATAAACTGTACTTTACAATAACTATGAATACCTGATTGTTTATTTATGAACTGATCAGAAAAAAAAACGTTTTGTCACAGTTTCTTTTATTTTCTACGTCAGCTCAAATTACAGCATTTTTATCATAGTCATATCAACTTAGTGAAAAATTAACGTTTGTGCCACATGGAAAATTGAAACACGTTTCGTTATCTTTCAGTTTGGACACGTGAAAATTTCCATTAAAATAAATGTGCACCTTTTAAAGTAAGTGTTTAGCCAACATTATAAAAGTAATAAATACTGATTAATAAATAAAGTAAGAAAAGGACAAAAAAGCTTCATAAGCTGATTGTACATATACTTCCAAAGCACACTGTGGCCTTAATGTTAAAAATGCGTGATAAAAATAAAATTGCATTGCACTTCTATGTACATCTTTACACTTTGAATTTTCAAAATATGCTTTAAAAGTCTCTGATATGTGGAAAATAAAACCAAACGCGATTTTCAGCAAAGTGAACATGGAAAACAAATAGCTCCAAAAACGAGCGACACTGAATAATGCACTCAAAAACATGCAAAGTAGGCCTATAGACATGCAAATAGCCTATGTAAGTTGCACATAGCAGTTCACAAATACATATTTCATGGCATTAAAAATATCTTCTTTTGTACAACACAGCTACTTTTCTACAATACAATACAATACAATACAATACAATACAATAGTCAACATGATCGATCTTTCGGCATCAAGTTTAATGCTATTGAATGTAACGACACACTCATTGGCAACAGAAAAATAAAAAAAGTACTAAAAAGGCATAATAATTATACACAGTCTGTATAAAAGGTTAGATACGTAGATACTGAGTTCACTTAACAAAATCAGATCACCACTGTCTTGATGATATAAAACATCGGTGGGAGGTCCTTTTATACTTGTCCCTTAGTGCTAAAAACCAGTACTTTTCTGAAACAGGTTAAGTACGAGTGTTTTGGCTTGTATCCTATCACAATCAGGGGCGGATTGAGTCCGTCTTCTTGAAGACGGTCAGATTTTCAAGTCTATATTTACAGATATCTAATTTTTCTGACTGAAGACGGTCAAAAATGGACGACTGATCAAAACAGGTAACTTGGAAGACAGTCAGAAAATATCTCTGGATCCGCCACTGACAATAAACTTAAAAAGAAATAAACATGTACTTAAGTCAACTTTACAGTGGGGGTCGCAATGAAACCGGTCGTCTGTTGACGGCTATGAGCTTATTTCCGGTGTCCTACACAAAAAGTGGCGCAATAACTGCTACAAATACCAAGGACAGTGTGGTCATGGAAGCTTGCAGAAGTGTTGATCCCGAGGAGACGCGAGCCAGCCTATCGTATTTCCCTCTTAATTCCTGTAAGGAGAAACGAAAGGAAAATGATCAAGACTTAGACGAGTGCCTCTCGCAAGCGAAGTAAAATGTACTGTTGGTATTTTGTACTTAATGTGAAAGTTATCATCTCTCTCTCTCTCTCTCTCTCTCTCACACACACACACACACACTGACTAACATTTACCATAACTACCCCAAAAATATCTATACAAAAACAATGTTAACCACGCATTTCCATTTCCGTAAATCATGATAATATCAATTTGTCGATTAAAAATCAACAGATGTGACTTACTCTGATGCCACTCTTAAGGGACGCAACATCAGCTTTACTTTGGCTTAAATCTCCCCGCAGAGCACTTATCTTTCTGTACATTTCCTGTCGCAAGTCCTGTAATATTATCATTTTATCATATTTTATTTTGTATAGATTAAATTGGCAGACCTCTGTATAAGTATCAATAAATAATATCAATTACGATATTAATATAGCAATTGTATTAATATAAACGTCAGGAAATTGATTTTCTGTATATTCACGTTATGTACAACGAATGAAGCTAAGCCATAAAAGTAATTTAAAGGGGGGGGGGGCTTTTGAAATAACCTTTTTGGATATTTTTGTAAAAAATGAGAGTATCAAATGCAGTTGTTACACATAAAACATTGACGTCACAATAGTCGATTGAAATACAGGAGCCTGCTGTCAACGTGTCCAGCGTAATAACGACTATATTTATAAACTCAAGTGCCCAAGAAAGGTTTACCGTTTTACTCCGGTCCAGCCTATCGTATTTTCCTCTCAATTCCTGTAAGGAGAAACGAAAGGAAAATGATCAAGACTCTCGAAAACGAAGTAAAATGTACTGTTTGTATTTTGTACTTTAATGTGAAAGTTATCATCTCTCTCTCTCTCTCTCACACACACACACACACACACACTGACTAACATTTACGATAATTAACCCAAAAATATATTTACAAAAACAATATTAACAACGTATTTACTTTTCCGTAAATCATGATGATATCAATTTGTCGATTAGAAATCAAAATGTGACCTACTCTGATGTCACTCCTAATGGACGCAACATCAGCTCCACTTTGGCTTAAATCTCCCCGCAGAGCACTTATCTTGCTGGACATGTCCTGCTGCAAGTCCTGTAATATTATCATTTTATCATATTTCATTTGGTATAGCTTAAATTGGCAAAAAATCGATATTTATATAGCAATCGTATTAATATTTGATTGATTTCCTGTATATTTACGTTATGTACAACGAATGAAGCTAAGCCATAAAAGTTATTTAAAGGGGGCCTTTTGAAATAACCTTTTTGGAAATTTTTGGTGAAAAATGGGAGTATCAAATACAGTTGTTCCACATAAAACGTTGACGTCGCAAAAGTCGATTGACATACAGGCTGTTAACGTGTACAGCGTGACATAATGACAATATTTGTAAACTCAAGTGCCCCATAAAGGTTTACCTTTTTACTCTGGTCCAGCCTATCGTATTTTCCTCTCAATTCCTGTAAGAAGAAACGAAAAGGAAAATGATCAACACGGGCAGATCCAGAGATATTTTTTGACAGTCTTCCAAATTATCTTTATTGATCCATCATCCATTTTTGATCGTCTTCCAACAGAAAAAATAGATACCCGTCAATGTAAACTTGAAAATCTGACTGTCTTCCGGCAACCCCAGATGACGGCCTAAATCCGCCCCTGATCAAGACTTAGATGAGTGCCTCTCGAAAGCGAAGTAAAATGTACTGTTTGCATTTTGTACTTTAGTGTGAAAGTTATCATCTCTCTCTCTCTCTCTCTCTCTCTCTCTCTCTCACACACACACACACACACACACACTGACAAACATTTACCATAAGTACCCCAAAAAAAATATATACAAAAACAATGTTTACCACGCATTTCTATTTCCGTAAATCATGATGATATTATATTTGTCGATTAGAAATCAAAATGTGACCTACTCTGATGTCACTCCTAATGGACGCAACATCAGCTCCACTTTGGCTTAAATCTCCCCGCAGAGCACTTATCTTGCTGGACATGTCCTGCTGCAAGTCCTGTAATATTATCATTTTATCATATTTCATTTTGTATAGATTAAATTGGCAAACCTCGGTATTAATATCAATTAATATACGATATTTATATAGCAATCGTATTAATAATTGATTGATTTTCTGTATATTCACAACGAATGAAGCTAAGCCATAAAAGTTATTTAAAGGGGGCCTTTTGAAACACATAAAACGTTGACGTCACAAAAGTCGATTGACATACAGGCTGTCAACGTGTACAGCGTAATATAATGACAATATTTGTAAAATCAAGAAAGGTTTACCGTTTTACTCTGGTTCAGCTTTGCTTCAAGAAGATCCAGTCGATGCCTACTGCGTCCACTCGCGTCATTTAAACTGTGTCTGATACTGGAAAAATTCTGTTAAAATAGAACAATAATTAAATGCCGAAGCTTAGGATTAAACATGCTCTGAACACTGTCGCTCAAGTCCAACAACAAGACAAAGAAGTTTATTATTTTTATAGTTACATTCTTAACTTCTCTTTGAAAACACTCACACTGCAGTAGTCCCTATACTTTTACAAACATAACATTTGTTTATTTCAAAGCCTGCGCCTAGAAAAAAAAATAAAGTATTATTATTCTCATTTGCTTAACTTACTTGTCGCATTAACTGCTCCAGCCTGTCCATCTTCCTAAAAGCCTCAGCTGTGCGGTTGTCGTTGTTATTTACCTTCCCACCGAGTCTTTCCACTTCTGCCACCAGTAACTATAATACGAAATGTCACATCTTTTATAAATTGAAGCCTTGCAAAATGCTACGACGATTATTTCTTTAACATACATCTATATGAGGGACAAAAATTATTGCAATACTCATTCGAATTTTTGCATTAATTCAACGAACATCAGCAATATCTTTTTGCAGTTATCAAATGATATGTATTAATGCGTAAAATATTCAATGAACATGAGAAGTCGCAACACTCACCTCGTGATCTTGCATTAGACTCTGAAATGAAAAGAAAAATAATTTGTTATCAATTTATTTAATGCAATTTCCAAATATTACTTAAAGTTTAATAAAAAAAATCTTTTGGAGACATCATTTGATTTAATACATGTATATTCTGTACTCATCTAACGCATTGCCCGGAAATCATGATATTATACATGCCAAACGTTTGGATGACGTGATGTGGTGTTTAATACCACTGGAAGGAAAATATTCAACAAAAGTCGCTTTTATTTAAAACAAACTATGACATAAATACCGTTGCCCGTTTACACATGACAGAGATCTGATCAACCATAGCCATATATGACGTCAAAGAAAAAAAAACTGACTATTCAAATGTATCAGATTGCTAATATGCAAAACTACAAAATGTGATTTTCTCTTGCCTTTAGATCATTAAAACTGTCATTCAGCAGTCGCTTGTATTCCTCCAATTGCGCCTTTGTAAACCCGTGCGATTGTGACAGATCCTAAAATACGAACAGATTGTGGGTTCTTTCAATTCAAATTTAATAATATCTCACATAAAATTTATTCTTAATTTTTAGTATTTAATGAGCATGCCAATTTTACTTTTCCATGCGCGCCTCAAATTTTACACAGTGTAACATCTGAGATTACTGTGACGTCACAATGTCAATCATCGAAGGCTTGTTTATTTCAAAACGAAACCAGACATCTTGTATTTTGTGGTATTACGCTCTTTTCACAAATACAATCAACAAGAAAAATATTTACTTTTTATGATATACAGGCTCCAACTTAAATTCAGGATGAAATGTAAATGTAGCAGCTTGTTAATGCTCAGAACAATTAAATTAATGTGTTTCTCTTACTGTTAGATGGTTTAAAAAATCTTCCATCTGCCGGGCATGTTCTACCAACTGTGCCTTTGTTTTCTGGTGCGCTTGTGTCAGATCCTAAATTGAGAACAGAATATCATTATGTGCTGCAGGTTCTCTCAATTCAATTTCTAAATTATCTTTTACAGTTTCGAGCATATTTCTGTGTGAAGTAATCATTAACGGGTGCCAATTTTTTTTCAAACCTGTACTGCTAAAATATCACACCAAGCATGCGACAGCTGAGATTACTGTGACATCACTTTGACAATCATAGAAGGAATGCACTTTAAAAAACAAAGCATGACATTAAAAAAAACACATTTTGTATTTTGTGTAACGCTTTTTCACATGTGCTATCAACAGCATAGTGAGATTATTAGCGTTTTATCATACACAGGCTTCAACTTCAAATCAAGGAGTGAAGGAATTGTTGATTCCATCAATATCTTTATGACGAATGACGTCTGGCTCGTAACGATACTCACTTTAATTGAAGCATTGTAACGACCCATCAGTATGCGGCGTTCTTGTTCAATGCTCAGATCCTGGAAAATTAATATGAATATATAGAGAGTCTATATAAGAAAGTTATCCGTCTTAAATAGCCGTTCGGGACACGTCAGCCGTTTCTATAACTCACATCTACCGGCTCGTAATAGGTCGACTTTGGCAATGACAATGCACAGCATTTAAATCATAAGAATAGTAAAACAGAGGGAACGCTTTTTTTTTTATTCAGAATAAAATTTGGATAATTGAATAAGTTTTCTTTGTGTATCTTATACATGAACGTTAGAAGCAGATAAAAACCGAGATTACAGAGGACCTTTTTAAATAAAACCTATACAAATGCGCAAATAATACTCAAATATCCAGATTTTTAGTTAAATTCAGAAGACTTTAATCTCTATTACACAAAAATTCTAAATTCTGTTACACAAAATTCTAGATTCAGCCATAATCTACGTACTTTTGTGCCGACCACAGCGTACTTCTGAATAGCCGGCGTCACAGTACTGTTGAAAAGTCGAGATTTCAGCTCCGCTACTTCCTTGTATAATTTCGCTTCCTGTGACCTCAGAGGACACACAAAGATGAAATCGTAGAGGTACAACCCCGCCAAAACGAGCAAAACCACTCCGAACACTTTAGCGCAAGTCTTTATGGCCTTTCCTTTCTTCGAGCTGACCCAAGGGCGACGGCGTAGACGTTCCGACGCGCGGGTTTCGTGAGGCGTTAGGGAGTCGAAGCTGGTTCGCGTTTTGTCCTCATAGTCGGAAGCGCATGTGCTCCCGTTTTCCTTCCACATAGGTGATTCGGGGAAGACGTCCTCTCCCGACATTGTCGTCCGATTGCTTTTACTTTTTGATGGTTGGTTAGGTTGAATTATTCAACTGAAAAAGAAAAATAAACTATCATCATTATCATTTTTATCAATATTATTTTAATATCTTTTATTATTAATGATTACACTGTTCTACTGTCATCAACCAGTTTAAAAATAAAATGTTTAATAGATGAATAAAAATAGGTATCTTATTAACAAATGGACAGGAAGATGGCAAGATATTAAATGAATAGATATAAAATTAAATGAACACATGAATAGACAGCTTTTATTCCCAGCTGTAACATGTACTCCAATTCGCTTTTTTAATGTTCAGGCTAAATGTTGAAGTCTTTTTAAAATAAACTTTTTAAAAATTCCATATGTTTGTTTTTATTTGTAATAGGAACCCTGTCTTTTCTGAATGTCTTAACTATTTTTCATAATTGGACTTGGGCCAGTGAAGTTTGATTCGTGTCTGTAAGTTGAAAAGGATTTGCCACAGACTCAAGTTGTATATCACCCCCAATGATAAGGCTGGGGAATATTCGGAATATTTTTCTTCAGAAGTCTGACTGCAGATAGCCTTATCTTTTACATTTGATAACATTTGCAGCAAAAATACCCGATACTAGTACATATACAGTATAACAGGCCTGTAGTCAGCAATTTCAAAAGAGGGTTTCTTTTTATGAATAACCGTACCTGAATAAAATTTTACCCTAGGGGGACTTTTTCTACGGGCCTGTGTAAAAAAAAAAAAAAAAAGAAAAAAATTAGAATCCCCGTTCGTTCAAAAAGCTCCAGACCTACGATTACATAGGATGCCTGGGTTTGCCCGTGTGCCCCCCCCCCCCCCAGCTCTGCCTAGCCTTTGTAGTTGCTTCTGTTTTAAATCAACAATTTTAGTTTTAAATACATCTGACGAACTCACTATGTAGGCCTACGTGGGGAAATTATAACCAGGTTTCGGTTTCCTTAGCACACCTGATATGTTTCGTATTGGCTAATATCTACGCAGGCATGCTTTGCTGGCCTATCAAGCCATTTATAAATTAGGTCGACTTCCATACAGAAACATCCTTTGTGTAAAATCATATTACGAGGCGGCTTGTATTTATTGTTATTATAATAAACTCAGCATTCTTGACCGGCTTTTCAGTCCAAATTGCTGCATTGAAATTAATAATAGTGTTATATGTAATAAGTCGTTCGTTCAGTCCACAGGTTTAAAGCATGCAGTGTTAATAGACCCTTATCAGCCTAACCAACAAAGACAAACTCTTCATCCAAAATGCCTGAACGTTTTGTAGGCCTAATATTTATCAGTTTAAAACGAAAACTCGGTGAAAACGGTGGTTTCACATCAGTCACATCTGTATCTAAATCAATGTCCCTAGGGCCTATACGAGTTAAACACCAACGCTTCCCCCCCCCCTCCGCATCTGCCAACATAGTAAGTTACGCTTCACCCTCAAAGACTTATCACTGCATTAGGCCCCTATTTTCGGAACTCGTACTAGTACTAGTAATCTACTGTACTTCAATTCAGGAACATATTTTTGATGTTCAGTATTCGAACTCGTGACACAGAGGCACCGTTCTTTAAGATCGACATAGACTGATACTGCGCGCCCTCATGCAGAACCAACCGATGGAGGGGAATGGCGCTTGGATTTAAAACAGGAATGAAAAGAAACAGTAGCCGCTCAACAAATAAACAAATCAGATTTGCCACAGTTTCCTACATTCTACACAGGAATCAAACGTGTTATGCCTGACTAACCTTCTTCGTCTCTCCTTATAGAATGGCAGCAAAGGTCTGCATGTCCCTTAAATATCAGTAATCTTGCAAAACTCAGCGATCGAAACCAAGACTAGTAAATATTTGCCACTGTCTATTTTAAACCGTGTCCCAGGGTCAAGTTACAGCTCTCATTGCGCATGCCCCGGTCATTTCAATAAGAGAATCTTCTCTCTGTTGTTATTTAGATGTACGTTTTTTAGTGTTAATTTCTGAACAGGAGTGAAGTGACTGATTTGTAGACCTAGAGCTGACCTAGTTGACGCCGTCTATTTCTAATCTTGGTTTAGAAAGTAAAGCAAAACACAATCAAATACACTAAGAGAGTCGATGTGGTTCAGATTCCCATTTTACAGGGGAATCTGAACCCGCCATCTCCCCCTATTAAAAGATGGTACTAGTAATCATTTTTAAGATGCTTCTTTTATTTTGAAGTAATAATATGTGCTAATTAGTTTTTCTTTCCTTTGTTTCTAATCTTTTATCTTAGGGAGAAATTATAACGTTTATTGAGGACCACAATGCGCGCAAAATAGGCCCTATACCTAGGCCTATAATGGGGTATTGCACGGGAAGGTTTGACCATGTTTTATTTGCTGGGCAACGCAAACTGAATAACTCAGGGGCGGATTGAGGCTGTCTTCTGGGCCTTCTGGAAGACGGTCAGATTTTCAAGCTTACATTGATGGGTATCCATTTTTTTCTGCCAGAAGACGGTCAAAAATAGAGGATGGATCAACAAAGATAATTTGGAAGACTGTCAGAAAATATCTCTGGATCCGCCCCTGAATTAACGAACAGATATCAAACACACACACACACACACACACACACACACACACAGAAAAAAAAAAAATAAATAAAAATAAAAAACGCGGTAACGTGTAGGCCTACAGTAGTAGTTTTCCAAATAAACATAAGTAATCAACGCAATTGGTAGTGAAGTAGCCTACAATTTGCAGAGATACCAAATCATTTAGAAATTATGATACATGCATGCTAAACATTGGAATCAAAATCTGGAGAAAAAAAAACGGTTTGAGGCTTTCCATCAGGGCAGCGTAGGCATATATATATATATATATATATATATATATATATATATATATATATATATATATATATATATATAATAAAAAGAAAAAAAAGAACAGCAGCTATTTTGCCCCAACCGGTTTCATTCTTTCTTCAGGGTGTTTTGTTTATTTGTTACTAGGTGATGTCATAAAGGCTAAAATGTGACGTCTGTAACAATGGGTGTTTAATTGTTGCTTTTACCAATGCTATTATCTATTCAATGTAGGTTTATACTTTTTAATAAATTCATTGAATAGATATACATATGAGGCACTGCTGTCATAAACAACACAATCAGCATACCTAACGCAGTGGCTTCCCACTGCTGTTGTAAACAACACGATCAGCACACCATTTTTTTTTTTTTTTTGGCTATGAGAACGCTCGACCACGATTACCTTAATCGTCTATGAACTGTACAAACAAAGTGCACCACAAACAGTTACACTGAATCTACCTTAAATTGCTGATAGGCCTACTGTTGGCTTCTTCGATGTTGTTTCGCTTTCTAAAACGGTACAGAGTTATTTGCTCTGAGCTTTCCTCTTCACTAACTTCACCCTGGTAAATACACAATTGCCAGCAGCTCTTGTAAGCTACGTAACTGTGACCTAACAGGCAATAGACCAATTAAATGCAAGCACGTTCCGAAACCAACATTTGTAGAATCTACGCATGCTCAAAGTTCTGGAATTTTTAAAGGGTATTCCCCTTTGCAGTAAATATAAGTACATTAAGTAATGCTGACGTGTCACTGTCTATTTAAAGTTATTTCAACTTATTGAAAATTTATTAATATCTACACCCAAAGTTCAAGTCAAACATATGTGCCGAGCAAAGCGAAAGGGAGATAAGAAATAACAAAACGTACACTGGTAGCATCAATATCCATATTCAAATCACTGATAATAATTAAACCAACCCTGAAATGAAGCGTGAGCGTCTCTAATACATAGGCCTACGTGAGTCTTTAAACCCCGTTTTATGCTAAATGTTGTAATTTTGTTTTACCGTGACTCCATGAATCAATCCAACAAAAGTTGTGGCCCTGATGGGTGATATTCATTTATGGTCATTCCAGATCATTCAATTTCCTGTGTTCTGCAAGCTTTTGTTTTTCATTATTTTTCCCCCTGATTGACATCTCCCAATCTCTCTCTCTCTTTCTCTCTCTCTCTCTCTCTCCCCCCCCCCCCCCTCCCCTCC